AATGGAATATAATTTATAAAAATTCTTCATTACTACAAAAACTCTATTATTTAAGCTATCTAAAAAACCAAGTACCAACATTGTGGCGCCAAAAATGAGAGCAATACGAAGCTTCAAACTCTCAGAGAGCCAAAAACATCTTTGCGGCTTGTAAAGGTTGCTCTCACCGTAAGGTTAGCGCTCCAACTTCTTAAGCTTATAAAAAGGCGAAGGAACGTCCATTTAAATAAAACTTGTAATGGTGGTTTCATGTGTTCCTTGACAATTGATTTGGCTTAGAAAAAAGTTATATGAAAACGTAGAATTCCTTTAAAATTGCGATTAATTGACTCACGAAATAGCGTACATATTATTTTTCGGGTGTCCCCTATTTCGTGACACTACCGATTCAAGGATATTATGGATAACATTTTGATGCTTGGTTTTTAAATAATTATTTATGATAATTTAAATGTAAGTTATGAAACAAATAATGCATTTATTTAAGTTTCTCATGACCTAAATTCGGTATATGTTTCGTTCACTAGAATTTATATGACACGAGTTTGAAGTTCACATAAATGACCAATTTTAAGATGAATTAGCATAAGTAGTACCAGCATAATTTTGGTTTTATTTCGATTTGTTTTATTTATCTTTTATCGTTTTTAAATTTATTAAACCCTTAATCATTATTAAAATATCCTAACTGGATGCATAAAACCTTATCCCGAAATAGGGGACATGAGTTCACGAACTTAGAAACAGAGCAAAATTTTGTCACGAAACAGGATCCAAACAAGAGGTCCGCAGAACAATTAATATAAAAAAAAGTTCAAACTGTATAACTATAAATTATGTATTAACTTACTGTCAAAAGACCAAAGTTTAGCATACAAAAGCTTTCATACTGATATCATGCTTGGTTATTTTTAAATAAAATGTTAAAGTCGTAAGAGCCTTAATATACCGAAGTAGGGGGCACTTACCTTACGTCCGATGCGTACGATACCGACATGTGGACGCTAGCCTTTAGTCGGCCGATAGTTTTGATTTGGGCTGCTTGTTATCAAATGACATTAAATTTGTACAGCGCCCCTAGCGAAAACTTTCAAGAACTAAATTAGGGATTGATGGGGAAAGCGGGCATTAAAATTGAAGAAAGCCGTGCGATTCCAAGCTTTATGGTTTTGATTTCTTCGCCTGTTAATGATTAAAAAACAAACAGGGCTGTCAGCTCGCTAAGCCGTGTATTCAATCGCCAGCTTACCGGAAGTGGGGCGATAAAATCTGAAATTCAGTTTGATTGCTGTAAACTCGACCAAATGGCATGCTAGGAGCGACTTTTATTGCTTTTGTGTAGGGCTGCTAGTTTCCTTAAGATTGTTACAATCTTCGTTGAAAATGCCGTCCACTGCTGGACAAAGGCCAGCACACTTCCCTTACTAATAAAAATGACATTCTCGTTGAACAGTGTTTTAAAGTAACGTTTAATATGGAAATGCATGTTAGAAAACCTTTGTATTTTTTTGGAAATCGCTTTGTTTTTGGAGATTCGATAATGAACTATGCTGTTGACTATGTAGTCCTTCAGCAGCCACTGCTGCACTGTCTCTATCCTTTGGGTTAAACAACTAGTGACATAAAAGCCAACATTAGAATCAATATCACTCATTCTAAATATTAATCCTACGGCTGGACGAAAGGTTCTAAGTTTTTGATTTTTAAGGTGCATCTCAAAAATTCTTTTTTTTTTCATAGAAGTTTTACGGCTTTGGATAAATATGTCAATTAGTGGAAGATAATGGAACATAATATAAATAACTTCTATAAATTTTTTTTGACGCTAAATCTTGGTCAAAATTTTATAAAGACACTAGCTTTCCGCCCGCGGCTTCGCCCGCGTGGAATTTTCAAGTCTGTCACAGAAAATCTTTATCGCGCGCGTCCCTGTTTTAAAAGCCTATAAAAACTATCCTATGTCCTTTCCCGGGACTCAAACTATCTCTATGCCATATTTAATCAAAATCGGTTAAGTGGTTTAAGCGTGAAAGTGAGACATACAGACAGACAGACAGAGTTACTTTCACATTTATAATATTAGTATTATAAATTTAATTTAATTTAATTTATGATAAATCAAGAGTTGACAGCCCTAGCGCCAAATTGAAAGCTTCAATTACATCGAAATAACTCGTGCCCGGTAGAAGCAGAATTCTGAAATATTTTGTGTTTTATTGCGGCTTGGTTGTTATTATTTCTATTATTTTTACGATTAAACATGGCTAACAACAAAATAATTGTACTTGCCGGTTTACTGTGAACTTATGAAGGTCTTACTACGAAGTTATTAGCAAAAAGTAGTCCCAAGTACTGACTAAGTTAGGTGTAGGTACTGCAATTAGGGGAGACTGGGTACGGTTGTCACAGGGTACGGTTGTAACAGGGTACTGTTGTAACAGGGTACAGTTGTAACAACTCGACAGCTGCTTGGTAGGTGAGGGGTACAAAGGGAAGGGTATACGGGCGACAAGACAATAATAAAGTTGTATGGACTAGTCACCCGTATGCTCTTCTCCATAAATACCCCTCACCTACCGAGCATTGTTCGATAACATTCGAGTTGCTACAACCGTACCCAGTCGCACTTTGCCCTGAATAAAAAAATGGGAATTGAAGAGATATTTTTAAATCCTCCATTGATGGCGAGTCAGAATATTGAAAAAATCCACATTTTTACCCGACTACGCCAGAAGGAGGGTTATGTTTTTCATGGTTAATTTTTCAAAAGCAATGAGTGTGAAGTTTATTTTTTTAAATAAACGCCTAATGAGACGATAAAAAAGCAATATCTCTTATCTATCCATCTGTAAATCCTTGCTGTCCCACCAAACTCAATGACAGGGGGGCGCCACCATCGTTCAACTTTAAAGTTTCCAACGTGGCAAAAATTGGAACCAGAGATCCGGTATTGACGGTGGCGCCCCTTTGTCAATGTCACGGGTGGCACAGTTCGTTGTAGTTCATTTAAACTCTGTTACTCATGTGGAAGATTGTATCTATCCATCTCTAAAAATGACAATAAAATGTATGACGGATTGTACAGCGCTCCTACCGGAAACGTTTAAGAACTAAAATTTTCATCCATTTTAAACGCGCTAACTTTGATGTAAATCACACTTAGCCCACTCTTCTTGAAGCAAGTGCGTAGGTACTGTTAAAAACCTTTGCATGTAAACTTAACCTTCTTACTACCTCTTAACCTACTTCGCTAGATGGCGCTGTCTGATTACTTTCGGAAGCATAGATTTACACCCCACGATTAACAGTCTCTCTTGGTCTCTCGTAACACGGTAATTTAAACGAGTAAGGATCCAAGATACGCTGGTTGAACTAGCTTCCGATGGCGTGCGGCCACTGTGGAGTTATCTTAGAATTTAAAGTGGGAATTTTCAAGAACCTTGGCTGTATGATGTCGATGTCTTTGCATTATAATGTCTGACAACTTTGTTGAGTATTCGTGGAAATTTTATTTTTGTAATTTAGGTAATAATGTTACTTACTTATTGATTTTAGTTGCTAAATGAATGTTTTTTGTGTGGTTTTTGGTTCAATTCGTAAATGGGACATTCATAGTGCTTAGAATATTTTTCAAATCTCTATGATCTAGGCTAGGTGACTGAATTGAACAGAAATTGAAGTAAAAACTTGATTTACCTGAGGCATTTGGTAAAGTAAACGTATGCTTTAGTATTTGTTAAAATAGCATTTAGTTAGAGATAGTACTTTTTACCCAAATTATTGTGCTATTGGACAATATAACTCTGGTAACGTCAAGTATTCCTATAGGGTGCATCTCAAGGGTTGATACTGGGACCATTACTTTATCTTTAATACAATTTAATTTTGCCCTTCTTCCGTTTGTAATTTATTTCCAATTAACTTTAATTTATTCTACCCTTTTCAAGCTTGTCGAAACGACTCAAGGCGTGCCGCAAGGGTCAGTCCTAGGACCTTTACTATTATACCTTGATGATTCCTCTGCCTTCATTGGCAATTCAGTAGGTATTATACCTTCGTTTCCCATTAGCGTACGTAATTTCCCATGCCCTTTTCAAACGTCGTAACTGTAACTTCCAGAACATACGCAGTACAAAAATAAATGGTTTTTACTACCCCTTGTAAGTAACCTTTGGGTATTATCAGTATTATAGTCATTTATTTAGTTGGGGCGTACTGATTAACATACGACAGCACGCGAAGGCAGAATGGCAATGAAAAGTAACCATGGTTATACTACGGTATGTTTTTTAGCTACAATATAATAAATGCGAAGTGTTGCTAAAGGTCAGTGCGAGAATTTAATTGTTATAAAACGGGACTATTCCCACCTCTCGTTTCCACTGCTACTCCTGTGTAGCCAGGATCTACAGCTTGACCGCCAACCCAACCAGTGAAGGTCAAGTTTGTTCATAGAGATATAGAGAGATAACAATTGACAACTAATGCGTTGAGTTCTAAACTCAGTATTGCATTAGAAATTCATGCACACAAATAAATACTCAACGTTCGAATAATCTTTGGTACTACGCAAGCAATGTAAGCTGTTTATATGACGTCGCTGCTGTCATCATTGCTTTCACGAGCAATGTGTTCTGTTTTTGGGCATATTGCTGTGACACCGGCCCCGCCCCCTTGTCACATCTCCCTTTAGTTTCTGTAATCTGTTGTGAGTTTGTTCTGAGGGAAAGTAAAACTGTCATTTATGTACCCTTTTTTTGTCGCGGAGGAAATGCTTTGCGCACCGTCACCACTGCCCGGGGGACAGAATGGTGTGTGGGACTCCCGGCGCCCTAAAAAGGGCGCTGCTCCGTCCTGAAAAGGTTGAGGTATACTCACTAAAACCTCCGCGGAGTTCCGTCATCGCCCGAGTGGGAGTGTCGCGAGTATCCGGCCGTAGCTTTAAACTTCCGCGACACCATTGGGTCATTTATATAACCTAACCATCTTCTTTCTTCCAGCTCGAGCGTGCGGGAAGCCGTCTGACTGCGCTGGCATCAGTAGCAGCTCCTGTGTCAGAACCCACTACGACTCCACCACCAGATGCCTCTGTGGGGACAACTCACCGCCGGTCAACGGGCAGTGCGAAGCGCAAACTAAATGTAAGTTATTAATCATCATCGTCATCATCAATCCCTCTAGACAAGTGACGCTACACTTCTTCTCGCTCTGAAAATCTAATCTCATCATAACAGAGCCATACGGAAAAACGTCGGTGCGATGGCATTTCTCTCTTGGCTATACACTCTTGTCTAGAGGTCAGAGGGCTGGGTGTGAGTTTTCATCAAACGTGCTCACAGTAAGCGCGTCAAAAAATGACATTTAATGTATGACGGATTGTACAGCGCCCCTAGCGGAAAACGTTCAAAAACTCGTGAGCGCGTTTGATGTAAATTCACACTCAGCCCACAGGTCATTTACGCCCGTATTCACAAACATTACTATGAGGTCTCACTGTGCACGTGGACGTTGTAAAGTTCTCGAATAGCGACCATGAACTGAAAGATGGTGTTTACTAGGTGGACCGACGATCTGGTGAAAGTCGCAGGAAGCATCTACTTAGACTAGATCTAGATGCGGGCAGTGCAAGACTGGTCGTTGTGGAAATCCTTGAAGTCCTTTGACCAGCAGTGGACGTCATTTGGCTGAAACGAACGAACTGAAAACACTGTGCTTCATATCAAATTGGGACACATTAACTTTAGTTTTGACAGCTCATTATTTTTCCCCAACAATTAAGGCTATGGTAGCGTGAAAACTTATACTAAGAGTAAATACCATACTCAGCATAAAAAGCTTAACACTGTGGCGTCTTATTTCGTCGCATTAAAGGCGATTTTCCAACAAAAATGTACGTCTTGATGTGCTCTCGAAAGTACCTACTTTGTACAATTAAACCAAGAACACAATGGTTCGTGCTTTATACAAATTAACTTACATTTCAAAGGTTTTTCTGTTATCAGTGCTAGTTATTATAGGGCTTAGGCACGTAGCCTTAATTTGGTGGGCTAAAGTTTGATTATGAATTTAATTTAGGTGTATGGATATACTTCTAGCACGAAAAACTCTCGACTTCGAATCGTTTGCGTATTCGAATCGCCATCGAAAGATGAAAACTTCAATAGCGCCCCTGTGCTGTGAACGTCACGTGAAGTTAGAATGGGAGAGCACAAAATCAATTTTCACAATCGAATGCGTTAAAATTAGTTTCGAGCTACTGCTACATTTCTACAAACGATTCGAAAACGAAAGGTTTTCATGTTCACCTAAAATGCATACTTAAGGTCGAAGCACACTTATCAACCCGGAAACGGATCGTTACCGTGTCAACTCGTGGTAGTCAGTATTCTTTAAATGAAATTCAGGACTGCAACGCACACTTATCCGCACCGAAACGTAAACGCCTCGCCTCGAAGTTGACATCGCGGCGAAAAGCGATACGGTGTTGATCCCTTTCCGGATTGATAAGTGTGCTATCACCTTTAGGGCCCTCGCCCACGGCGACTTTTTGTAGCGATGCAGTCGCGCAGATGTAGCGCGTTAGTAGCGCCTTGGCATCACTTCTGCTGTAGTGCGTTGCAAATGCGACTAACGCGCGTTAGTAGCGATGCTGTCGCTCGTTTACGAAACGCGTGACAAAAAGTCGCCTTGGGTGAGGGCCCTTATGAACTCGAAAGATTTATTTAATAAGTATGTTCTCTCTTACAGCTCTCTACCACATCTGTAGCAACAGCGACGAATGCAACGATGGGTTAGTCTGCGCGACTCCAAACATCACGGGCACCCCTCCGCCGCACCTCCGAATGTATCTGACGACCGAGCGACACACGATCTGTCAGTGTGACGCAGAAAACGGGTTCAGGGAGCACGAACACTCTTGCAGTGGTTAGTACCTTGCTTTCGATAACAGATGGCGCTATTAATTATAGATGTATCTGCGTAAAATAGCGAATCGCTAACATTCTTGCAGTGGTTAGTGCGGGGTTTTTGATAAGAGATGGCGCTAGTTGTAATGGAAAACAACTTCTTACAAATGAAATAGCCGTCATACCTACCAGTGAGTGGCTCGTGCGGGGATTTTGATAATAGATGGCGCTAGTGAATATGAAGGGTACAGGGGCAAAACAAGAAATGTCACAAAAACAAAAAAATATGTATTGAACATTTAAATTTTTTAAAGTTTAAACCATTCTTATGTGACACTTAAAATTATAAACTAGTAATAGGAAGGAATACATATTATTATGACTACTTGTTTTTACGCTTTTTGTATAATCTATACTTATAANTTTTGAGAAATACTCATTATGAAGCTGAAGAGTTTGTTTGTTTGTTTGTTTGTTTACTTGAACGCACTAATCTCAGGAACTACCAGTCCGATTTGAAAAATTCTTTCAGTGTTAGATAGCCCATTTATTGAGGAAGGCTATAGGCTATATACCATCACGCTACAATAGATGCAGAGAAAAAATGAAAAATGTGGCGAAAACGAGTTTTAAAACGAGAAAAAGGTAACGAATAACACACTTTTATAATTCCAAGTTACTTTACGTTACATTATGAATGTAGGTAATAGCACAGATAATAGTTTAATAGTATGATGCATTAAAAATATTAATAAAATAAAACTAATACCTAATTAATGTTTGTGTTATATTTTTATTACATTTTTTCAGCTTTCTCGTAACAAAGCACTCAGCTGTTTAGCCGAGAGCATTCTTAAGTACAACCCCCAACCCCGACAGAAGGCCAGAGGGTATCGCCCCGGGCGCGCCACCACCGCCCCCTCCGGTGCCCCCGCTGCCCCCGTTCCCTCCACCACCCCCGCCGCCTCCGCCGCTTCCATTGCATTTGCCCTTCTTGTCGCATTTGCCACCGTTGTTGCCATTATTGCCGCCGTTATTGCAGTTACCACCGTTGTTACCGTTGTTTCCGCCGTTATTTCCCCCGTTGTTTCCGTTGTTTCCTCCATTATTACCTCCGTTATTTCCGCCATTGTTCCCTCCGTTGTTTCCGCCATTATTTCCCCCGTTATTTCCGTTGTTCCCACCATTATTGCCTCCATTGTTGCCCCCGTTGTTACCTCCGTTATTTCCTCCATTGTTACCTCCATTATTTCCATTATTGCCTCCGTTGTTACCGCCATTATTGCCACAGTTACCACCATTATCGCCACCATTGTTCCCACCGCCGTTATTCCCACCTCCATTATTACCTCCGTTGTTTCCGCCTCCGTTATTCCCACCACCGTTGTTTCCTCCGTTATTACCCCCATTGTTTCCTCCGTTATTCCCTCCTCCGTTGTTTCCACCTCCATTATTCCCTCCTCCATTGTTTCCACCTCCATTATTCCCTCCTCCGTTATTGCCACCGTTGTTACCGCCTCCGTTATTGCCACCGTTGTTTCCGCCTCCATTATCGCCTCCGTTGTCCCCACCTCCGTTATTCCCCCCTCCGTTGTTGCAGTCATTGCAGTCATCGTCGTCATCGTCACATGTTGGCTTCGAGAAGCTGGTGCTTATCTACAACGAGAGAAAAGGACTTAGCTGTGGTTGAAATATTGTTTAATTTCTTATTCTTTATTAAATGTTAGAAGTAGGTAAAAGTAAATAGGCCTTTTACCGTAAAAAGCCCTTTTGAGACTATAAAAAGTTAAAAAGCACACGCCCCAAATTACAATGGTCAATTGTCATACTTTTTTGGAGAAAAGCCGATGACGTCAGTTTTTTTCGAGTCAATTGACTGTCTATCTACTATATAAAAATAAGTCCGGTTTTCCTCCCTGACGCTATAACTCCAGAACGCACGAACCGATTTCCACGGTTTTGCATTCGTTGGAAAGGTCTCGGGCTCCGTGAGGTTTATAGCAAAGAAAATTCGGGAAAATGGGGTAAAACGGGATCCACGCGTACGATGTCGCGGGCGGCCGCTAGTTTACCAATATAAATGTAACTAAATATTAATTTTTTTATAATTTATGCAAAACTAGCTTAAAAACAAAAAAAAATCATGAAAAACTGATTAAAGTTTTTATCAGCTGTTAAAACTTAACGCTCTCTTAAATATTTAACGCGAAGAGTAAATTACAAAAAAACAATACAAATAAATACTTACCAAACAGAGCAGTAAAAGTATTAGCAATTTATTTCTGGCCATTTTTTCTTGTCTCAAGAAAAGTAGTACCAGTTGATAAAAGTAATAAAACTGAATGAATATCCGTTATTTATATCCATTTATATACGCGAGCTAGGTCTATGACATAGTGCAGTTATTATTCATTAAAACAATAGCTATACAATTTTTCAGATTACCTATTTACTCAAATGATCATACTTTTATGTTTTACATAAAACAAGACAGTGTTTATTTACTTATTTATTGACTTGACAAAGATCTACCAACAAGTGTTGATTCTTTCTTTAGTCATAAAAATAAGATTAGCAATATGAAATTAACACTTAACTCTACGAAAATAAAGCATGTGTAAACTTACTTATAAAACACTTTATTTTAGAGGAGTCTTGCGGTCCATCTTCTTCTTGCTAATTTGTCTGGCTATGTCAGCGACTTTAGTTCGTTTAGGATCTCCTCATTTCTGATTCGATCTCGTAAAGAAACGCCGAGCATAGCCCTTTCCGTAGCACGCTGTGCAACTTTGAGCTTCTGTATAATAATCACTGGCAACACACATTGGTTGTAGGTAGACTTTCGTCTTCAGGCACTGAGGTATTTTGGACGAAAAGATACATTGAAAAATGGTAACTTGAAATGGTCATCAATCAATGATGAATTTAATTATGAGAGCGACAGAAAACGGAAATGGGTAGCTGGAACTGTGGCCCATTTGTACCTGTAGATCTGTCGTCTTGTACCCATAGGTCTTCTTCTTCTTCGTCGCTAGTCGCTACACTCTTGCCATCGTCGTGTCGTCACACCCGGTTCGGTGGCAAGCCTCACAATCCGTCGCCATTCCTCCCGCACTGCAGCCTTTCTTGGTCAGTCCAGCGCACGGGCGACCTGCCGCGCGCTCTTGTGCCCTCAACCTTCCACTGCACGACAAGTCGTTCATCAGAAGCGACGTCTCCATGTAGGTATAATATGGCCAAAGAAAGTGAGAATACGACTTTGGACGATGAAAAAAGACGCTGTTAGCATCAAGTTCTTGGATGATCGAGTCTCGAGACATTGGTTCGGAACTGTGTCCGGGTTATGCCAAGCATTCTTCTTCAGCACCACATCTCTAGAACGTCTCTTCTTTTTCTCACTTTCTCTCAGAGTCCACGTCTTAGCACCGTAAAGAAATATAGGTCATATGACCCATAGGCTGTGCCATAGGTCAGGACAGCCAAAAGTACCTATTGTTGCTTAGTTTGGGACTAGATGGCGCTTTATAAAATATCTGTTTACATTTTTTCACTACACAAAAGGGCTTTCACACCAAGAATTTCTTTGCAGGGTCGATGTGATTTACCAATCATTGTCTATGAATATCCAATTGTATAGCTAACTTTGACGTAAATGCGAACAATGTAACTAAATCGGCTATAAAGCAAAACACAATATTTGTAAACAAAGAAACATATTGTGCTTCTTTAAAAACCAGATTGTACAAGTGGCCGCTTATTATTTTTATTATTTATTTAATTAATAAAATATCAAAGACTTATTACTAGTATTTAAAGGAACAAAGTTTGAATATCAATCAATTAGCTTCCTTCCCTCATATTTAAAACTAGTTTTATTGAAAAAAAAAAAAACAAAATGAAAAATAATACAATAATAATTTTATTCGTTGTCGGTTTGGTAAGTAGGCCTACCTACTTAATTCTTTAGAAATAGTATTAGAAAGGTTTATTTCGGACTAAACGCATTATCCGGATTGTGATTATTTTTTTCACAGATAAGCTCCTGCCTGGCATCGCCTGATCCCGGCTGCCCCGGTGGCAGTCCCAGCGGCTGCCCCGGCAGCTGTCCCGGCGGTAGTCCCGGGGGCAGTCCCGGGACACCCGGGATACCCGGGACTCCTGCCAGTCCCGCCGGAGGAACAGCCATACCAACTGGTCTGTTGAGCGGATTAACTGCTGTGCTGCAGAATGTACTCTAAGAACAGAGATGTACTTATCATTTTTTTTAAATATTGTTATTGTTTTAATTAAAGAAGCTACGATAACCGAACGGTGAAGGGCTCGGACTGGCCGACTCGTGATCCGGGGAACGCGGGTTTGGTCCCCGCCGGCTCGACTATTGTGGTGTGAGCTCATGATACAAGCATATTATTTTCACTGCAGACCCACGATACCCCTGGTGGTATCGTGGGTCTCGTTAAAGAACTACACTTCAGACCCACGACACCCCTGGGAGTAAAGTTGACAAACAAGGACCGGCGCGGGCGCGCGGCGTGCTTGGAGGGGACGCACAGTGCTCACGGCTAGTGCACAGTGTTGTGGAATACCTCTATGAACTCTAAATTGATTTCATTGAACATGTAATAAAATTTATATCGTTAAAAATAAAAATAAAGTACATAACAATTCATACAATTCATTATGTTTACCCAAAATTGTGCAAATAAATATTTGATTTTGAATTTTGAATACCTACATACTCGTTTATTGAATAACTAGCTTTCCGCCCGCGGCTTCGCCCGCGTGGAATTTTGTCTGTCACAGAAAAACTTTATCGCGCGCGTCCCTGTTTCAAAAACCGGGATAAAAACTATCCTATGTTCTTTCCCGGGACTCAAACTATCTCTATGCCAAATTTCATCAAAATCGGTTGCGAGGTTTAAGCGGGAAAGCGTAACAGACAGACAGACAGACAGAGTTACTTTCGCATTTATAATATTATTTGGTATAAGTATCAGGTAAAGTACCAGGCAACATAACCATAAAGGAGCTATTTTGTGATACATATTAATTTCTCGGGTCAACCAAGAAGAATTTGATAATAGCTCCTATAAGGGTGTTACCCTGGTACCTTTTATTCACCGTAGTAATTAAAATTCCTTTTTTCCCCACTGCTCAACTGCGCAACTGTTCTACTGGTTATATTTCCCATACAAACTGCTCTACTGGAGAAGGTTTGTAATGTTGAAAAAAACTTTATTTTGATTTCATAAAATTAATATTATAGCCTAAAATTAATATTATGTGAATAAAAAATACATAAATTATTGATAAGATCTCTTTTTTTCCCCAAGGGCAAACTACTCATTTAAATCATTGTCACACACAACGTGGTAGATGAAATTACCTTTTTAGGGTTCCGTAGTCCTGACAAGGAACCCTTATAGTTTCGACTAGCTGACCCGGCGAACTTTGTTCCGCCTTAATGGCAATAAATAAGCAGACTTTTTTTTTAATTTCGAACGGGATAAAAAGTATCCTATGTCCTTCTCCTGGCTCTAAACTACCTCCCTGACAATTTTCAGCTAGATCGGTTCAGCCGTTCTTGAGTTATAAGTGGAGTAACTAACACGACTTTCTTTTATATATATATAGATATGTCTGGCTGTCTGTCTGTCCGAGGTTTTGCTTAGAAACTACTGGCACTAGAGAGCTGTAATTTTGTAGAGGTATGTATATTATTCACGCCCACAAAACGGTAGAATAAAATTTAAAAAAAACTTTTTTTAGGGTGTACGTAAGTAAGTGGGGATGATTTTTTTTATCTTCTACCCCATCGTGTGGGGTATCGTTGGATAGGCCTTTTAAAATGGTTTAAGGGTTTCTAAGACTATTTTTCGATTTAGGGACCTGTTTGCAAATTATTAAAGTTTAAAGTGCCAATTTTTGTTCGAGTAGGGCGTCCCCCCCCTCTCCTCTAAAAACTAAACTGTTGGCTTGAAAAACCTGGAATAATTCGTAATAATACTGCTTTTCATGAACTTTCAAGGAAAACTATAACGGTTAAGATAGACCACTTAGTTTAAGAGTAATAGTCATTTGACTCATCTATATATATAAAAATGAAACCCGTTTCGCGTTGTCACGGCATCACGTGTGAACGGCTGAACCGATTTCGATAATTCTTTTTTTTAAATGTTTGTGGAAGTCCAAGGATGGTTCTTACGGAAAAAAATATTAAGAAAATCTCTACGCTAAGGCGGTACGAAGTTCGCCGGGTCAGCTAGTGTATTATAAATTTTTTAACCAAAAAAATTCCTTAGAAGAAAATATGAAAAGTGACTTTAGATGAAGTAATTGCTTGCTTCTGAAATATATTGTTGTAACGACGGACAACTACGGAACCCTACACTGCGCGTCACACCAAGTGTGTGCACGACACACACTTGGTCAATTTATATCGTACATACATAATTCCACAAAATTACAGCTCTCTAGTGCCAATAGTTTCCAAGCAAAACCTCGGACGGACAGACAGACAGACCGACATGACGAAACTATAAGGCGACGACTTGTCATGACGACGCAACTCTAAAAAATTTATGTTGATATGATATGAAGTTTGGAGATGTATGAAGCACATTACACCGATTTGGTATCAGCCGATTCTTCATACTTTAGAATCGGGCATTCGGGTCCAATTATTGGCCAACTAAAAGTCGGTGGTCTGCGTCTAGGCTAAGTAGATTCATAATTGGAACATAATGAAGAGGTTTGAAACAAAAAATCGTTAAAACAATTTTATTTGGTACGTTTAATTATTGCTAAAGGTTCGGACAAACCAACGCGTGCAGCGATGGCAATGGCGATGGNTATCAGGGGGTGATTAGTGATCGATACTGATGCCAAAAATGCAATCAGTAAAATTTTTGTCTGTCTGTCTGTCTGTCTGTCTGTCTGTCTGTCTGTCTGTCTGTCTGTCTGTATGTTCCTTATAGAAACTAAAACTACTCGACGGATTTTAACGAAACTTGGTACAATTATTCTTCATACTCCTGGGCAGGTTATAGGATACTTAAGAATTCCCACGGGAACGGGAATTAGCGGGAAAATCCTTTTGTATGAAAAATCTAAACCGCTTAAGTTAGTCTCTTGAAATTTGGCATGCAGGTACCTTAGTAAACTAAAAGCTTAGTTACAACAGGATATTGCAAAATTCCCACGGGAACGGGAGTTAGCGGGAAAAAACATTTGTATGAAAAAATCTAAACCACGTAATATAGACCCCTGAAATTTGGCATGCAGGTACCTTAGTAAACTTAAAGCTTAGTTACAACAGGATATTGCAAAATTCCCACGGGAACGGGAGTTAGCGGGAAAAAAATTGTATGAAAAAATCTAAACCGCGTAAAATAGATGAAGGGGGTAAAACGGGATCCACGCGTACGAAGTCGCGGGCGGCCGCTAGTTTCAAATAAAAATACGCGGGAAATCGAAAATATTGCCATCAAAAATATACTTTTGAATTTTAGGGATATTCCTTGTTTTGCCCCTGTACCCTTCATATGTAATTAAATAAGCAATATTCTATTTTCTTTAAATAAAGTCCGGATTCAGGGAGCGCGACCATTCTTGTAGTGGTTAGTACTGTGATTTTGATAAGAGATGACGCTAGTTGTAATGAAAAGCTTCTTACATTAATTTGTCTTAATACGCTTAGCGTCAGTAGTATACTCTATCATTTTTTTCTTTAGGACACAGCGAGCGAATAATAAATACTGCGCATCGGATAAAATATTTATTTTACACATGAATTCATACTACTTTGGTCCTTAGACAAGTATGTTTATATCCGTTTTCTAATATACAAACTTTGCTTAGTTTGTGACTAGAGAGAGGTGCAGTGTAAATGTCTAAGGATATTTATTTATTTTTTATTTACCTGTTTTAGATGCTATCTTAAAGCTGAATAAACTCAGAAGACATAACAGGGCGACCCTGATGGATCCAAAACATACAGCGGTCGAAGGCGATGAGAGAGCCGACAGTCTAGCGAAACAAGAGTCAGAAGCGACACCTATTCGGCCTGACTCGATAGTACCGATAGTACACATGGCCACGAGGCAATACGTATCCAAGACGCAGAAGCAATGGGAAAGCAAAAACGGTACGAGACACTCCAATCATTCCTAGAGGGAAATACAGGGTCATGAAGAAAACTCAGATTCAGTGGAAATAATAGGCCAGCCCTAGAAATTACGGATGCGCTAATTAGGCATTATGCAACGAACCACATGCTCCACAAAATGGGCCTAACAACAGAACTCCGCTGTCTAACATGTGGAAAATATGCGGAGTCCATGGTAACACTTACTGTACCAATGCGACGCGCTAGAAAAAAAGTACATACCGTAGCAGTTTGTTGTGCCAGCGACTACATAAATTCTAAAATAATACAAATACTCACTTGCTTAACGATCAAAAAATAGTATTCATGGGTAAAATAAATATTTGCTTCCGATGAACAACCAATGTTATGTCCTGTAAAAATGTTTGAAATTGTATTTCTGTCTGTGTTGTACCTATAAATAAATAGAATAAAATTATTACCTAAACTTTCACATTCTTTCTAAAGAAAGGTCATAGATGGCGCTCTTTTAACATAATCATAATACTCTTTCTTGTTAATTTTTTATGAAAGTTAATAACAGATGGCGCTATCTTATCAGTACTCTGTGTTTGTTTTATTTATGAAAGTGAAAAACAGATGGCGCTATTTAAAAGCATCGTTGTCACTCTGTATGTTAGTTTTATGGAAGTAAATAATAGAGGGCGTTGAAGAACAAAAGAGCTAAAGAATACAAAGTAATTTTAATGATTTTAATCTATTTTTTGTTTTATTTCAGATGCTGACATACTGAAAACTTCAGTTTTCGCCGTGATCATCGTGTCCTGCATAAGAAAAATCCTCGTTTACTAAGTTTTGTAATTTTTACTCAAAATCATTAAATATTTAGTTTCAATTGAAATAAAAAAAGTTATAATTTCTTAGGTTGTTGTGCATTTTAGCAGTGTGATATTTAGTAAAAAAAAAGCTTGATTCTGAAAGAGATTTAATTAATTAGTTCTTGTTATTAATTAACAAACATTAAAATCGATACAAAGTTTAAAACTAGTTGAGCAATTTGTCATAGAATTTATAAATTGTTAGTGTTTCATAGTTTTTGCAAGTTGTAGTACCTACTTACATTTTAGTGTATTAAGATCAAGTACAATTTAAAATCATTCCTAATCAATTCATATTGTGATAGCTTTTAGTAGATTTAAAACACTGGAGCGAGTGATTAAGCTTTAAAATGATATTTTTCATTTTTATTATAATGCATCTTTAAACATTTTAAGCTTTGTTATGTAATCTTTTTAATTAGACCAAAAATTAAAACATTAAAAGGTTTTCAAATGCTATTTCCGTATTTTATGTAAATTAGATATAGTACCTACTAAATCAATAAGATATTTCTATGTAATAATTTAATATAAGTAAACTAAATATAAAAAATAGTTTAGAACCATTTCGAACACGCTATAAAATAGCATTTTGCACGATTTTAATCATTTTAATGACAAAAAAATAAAGATGGCGTTGTCATAGGCTTTTCAATAACTTGTCGATTGTTTTTTACGATAACAAAATTATAGAAATCTACTTTAAGGAATTAATTGTTAAAAAGTACGTAAAATGTGTTTTATTGATAGTGTAGGTATGTAGTAGACACGCAATTTTGGTATAAAAAGTAAATAATATACTTAAGAAGTTGCTAGAACTACGTCCTTAGAAAATCGAACACCATTTATGTGCCTGCAATGTGTAACAGATTTCGTCCACTAATGTAATTAAATGTAAATATTTTGAATAATAGAGCACCTTTCCAAATAAATAAATACTAAAAATTTTTTTTAGTTTTACTGTCTTGCTAATCAGTAAATATTGTGAATCCTACACAAACATCCGAGTCAATTTCAAATACACACTTACGAATAAGCTACTACTACTATAATAAGTTAATACGTTTTTAGTAGGTGGGTTTTCCCTTCTGGTAGCAGTCCCACATAACATACCCACCTAACTGCCCCCACGGCTGGATGCAATATTTGCATTTTCCTGACGATCATAAATTAAAACCTACTACCGCCAATTCTATACCATGAAATAGCCACCGCCACTAGAGTAGTTTAATTAAAAAAAGGTGTAGGAGGTTTTAATCGTTTAGTGTAAGGGATCTTTTTTCCGAATTTCCAACGAATGGATGTCAAATTGAGGATAACACAGGAACACAATTACACGATGAAACGTCAACTACATACAACTGTCATTAGTGTCAAAAAATTTACGCACCACATTCCACCGCACATGTTTTCGCACTTTCTTTGAGATATTTTCCCAAAACATAAATAATGGATAAAGATCCGCTCAGCGAAATAGTGGAGTTCCTCAAACCAGACTCTCGGATAGACTTGAAACACATTTCTATTGACCATTTAGTCGGATTGTCTGCGACGGAAGAAGGTGTATCGACGTTGTTAAAAAATGAGCAAGTTATTCTCAGTATCATTGAATTAACCAGCGATAAAGTGGACGAAATATCCAAGAATGCTTTGCTCGTGCTTGTGAACGTGTCTGCAAGCGTCACAGGCGCTACAGAACTGTTAAAATACAGGCCGAGTAACCACAAAAACATTCTCGAACTACTTGTCAGCTACGTTTTAGACCCTCAAAAGAAGGACGCAGACGCTGCTTGCATGATCTTATCCAACATAACCAGGCTGGAGGATGAGTTAGAAGTGTGCCTAGACTCATTTATACCGCATTTGAACGATATAATGAACGCTTTCGTAAATATTGATTACAATAAAAAAGGATGTAACTTACATTACCTTGCTCCTATGTTTAGCAATTTGAGTTGCAGTTACAGAATACGCAAATGGCTGACCGAAGAAAACCCACACATACCACTGCTCAAATTACTACCGTTTTGCAATTACGAGCTGTCGAACATCCGTAGGGGTGGTGCTATTGGCACGATAAGAAACCTCTCATTCGACACAGAACATCACGACTTTCTTTTAAACTCGGATTTAGATCTGCTCACGTACCTTTTAAACCCGTTGATGGGAAACGAAGATTATCCCGACCACGAAATGGACAAGTTACCGATAGCGCTGCAATATTTCCCCAAAGAGAAACGCAGAGAAAGAGATCCGGATATACGAAAGATGGTGTTAGAAACTCTAAATAAGTTATGTACTAAGAGAACAGGCCGAGAAATGCTAAGAGAAAACGGTGTATATTACGTTTTAAGGGAATATCATAAGTGGGAAAAAGACCCACATGCGTTGCTAGCGTGTGAAAATGTTGTCGATATATTAATTCAGAAGGAAGACGAGGTTGGCGCGGACGATTTATCTGCAGTAGAAGTCCCGGACGATATGAAAGAAAAGTTTGAGAAAATGGACAAAGAATACATAAATAATGTATAAATTTATTTACTACAAATATATTATTGTAGCTTACGTTTTTGTATTTATTCTTTACTTTTTGATTCAAGAGATGTCTAGTGACTGAGATAAATCAAATCAAATCAAAGGATTAAAAGTAAAAGGTTAATGTTATTATATTCACATTTATTTCAGAATAATATTCCTTAGTCAAAACACTTAAGCTTATGCTTAACTTAATTTAAATGTAATATAATTTTATCGACAAGTATTATTATGTTGCCATAATAGTACGAATATTTTATAGTTTACAACATTGCAAATATTCTAAGACATCTATAGTCCGGTCGCCGAGCACGTAGAATTTCGTCCAATGACCCCAAGCTACTCATCCTTATCGCTCGCGCGTTACATTGCTGGTATAGCTTGGGGTCATTGGACGAAATTCTACGTGCTCGGCGACCGGACTTTGAGATTATTAATAAATAATACATCAGTATGCATTACCTGTAAATGCGAAATTAAATGCTAATAAAATTATCATCGTTGAAAAAAATACAAAAATAATGCGAAGCTTGTTTTCCATTATCTTTTTTATATGGCTCTTAGTTTTTCAATCATTTAGTAAGTTTATAAGCAATAATAAAGAATATAAATTGTACCCACAAGTCTAATTTTAGAGCTTACGAAATATACAGGACGTTCCAAAAATAGTGTTTTTTAGAGATATGGCACTTGTAATATACATAATGTAATACAATTAGTAAGTACCTTATGTAAAATAATTTTGGATTTTAAAGATAGTTGGACTTTGGTAGACATGCCCGTTTTCATCATCAATCCCTAATTTTAAGTGACCCCTATGGTAACCCATAACAAGAATTTGGTTTTCATAGGGATCACTTAAAAATTAGGGATTGATGGTAAAAACGGGCATTAATTACTCAAAACTTACGAAAATGAATGCTTTAAAAATTAAAAGCATACAAGGTGACCCTATAGGTACATCTATAAAAATTCTTAACAATTTCACAGAAATCCTACATTGCACAAACATACAAAGCATTATAACTATAATAATGTCAAAAACCTGTATTTCCCTCGGATGACTACTATCTTTTTTTAGTTAAAAATCAACCTTAATTTGATATACTTTTAGCAACAAATTGACAACTGTCAAATTAATTTTGAAACTTACAAAAAGTAGGTTCATTTTATGATAGGTTGCTATATCTTCTGAAGCGATTTTTAACTTATAACCTAATGAAATAAATCTATTGAGAATATAAGTCATATCCTGCTGCACACCAAGCCAAACGAAATGCATCTTACATCGTTGAAATAGGTTGTCTTTTGCAACTTAAAAGTAATGTTGACTGTACACTATAAGGAAGAGAAATGGTGCTAAAATAGTACCTAGGATAGCACCATAGAACCATTTTATTTTGAAAGAATTTCCCAAACAATTCAAAACAAAAAAAATACGTCGCAGCTAAGTTCAATCAGCCAGTTGAATAATCAAGTCATTAGTGCTTACGAGTTGGCGCCTTTAACACTGGCGCCAATTGGCAAATGAGCAATAGGCCAGGACTGCTAACTGGCGCCAATATGAGAAATGGAACAGTGGCGTCAACTGGCAAAAGAGATGCGAAGATGTCAGCTCTCTTACATAATAAGCCCTCACGAGATAGCGCCTCGATAGTGGCGCCAAGCATTCGCAAGTGGCCAAACAAGTGCGAAAATGTTAGGTTTCTTACATAATTATTGCTCGCGAGTTGGCGCCTTCAACGAAAAACTCGATAGTGGCGCCAACTGGATTTTATCGACTGATTGAACCCGCTGCGACATTTTTCACCGGATAGCCAAGTCAGCAGAGCATTAAGTACGTCAAAATTGAATGATATTTTATAATATCTACTGTAATTCAATTAATTAAAAATACATGGGAAATTCTTCCAATAATTATTGTAAAAATTATAATGTAACAAAACTTAGTGGTAACTAAAGAACAGTCGAGCTTCTTATGTAATATTAAATTATATTATCACAACATTGTTCATTTAGTACAACAACCTAAAAACGGCTAAAAGTGAAACAAACATACAATCAAACACATAAAGAACAGTATACTGAGTAAAAATGTGAATGGAAGAAAATTTAACAGAAGAAACAAAATATAAGTTCAAATTCAACTCGGGGAATCCTTCGGCTTGACTATTTTTCTGATTTGCGAATATTATAAGACTACCAGAGATTGGAATACTTATTACACATAATAGAACATCAATATTTTAACACCTACACACCAATAATTTGAATTGAATCTAAACATCACTGTAGTAAAGCCCGATTACCAAGCACGTAGAATTTCGTCCAATGACCCCAAGCTACCCTCTCGCACACTCACGCGGCCGTCCATCGCACAGTCGCGACAGCAATATAATTACGCGTGAGCGATAAGGATGGGTAGCTTGGGGTCATTGGACGAGATTCTACGTGCTCGGCGACTATAGTCCCGAAATTATGGTAGGATAGACACCCAATAGAACATCAATATTATTGTAATTAAACATTAACACCATGCCCTAAAATGGCCTACACACCAATATTTTGAATTGAATCTAAACATTAAGATGACAGAAATATGTACAGATGTAGCGCATACATAAGTAAGTGCCTCAGGTATGGGATAGGGAGGGTTTTTGTGACGTCAATCGTCAGCGAGACTTCAGAACGCACCTCACCGCTAATCCACGCTAAATTTTGTCAGTGTGTGCGTGCGCGCCGCATACCTATTGGCGCGCTCACATACAAACCGCGCTCGGGCGTTTCTATGAAGATGACCTACTCATTTGTATTTACTCTGCTATCACCCCTCCGCTCCCATACCCGTAACGTCCGTTAATTCCCGTAACTCAATTATGTACTACACCTGTAATAAATATGTTGCATTGACCAAACGTAGCTTGTTTCACTTTTAGCCGTCGATTTGTAACCTAACCGTTACATTTACTGATCTTCCGGAGGCTTGTAGTTCTTAACTCCTTCCATACGGGCTTTCCTGCGTTCGGAGGGCGTAGCGCCTTTGATCTTAGTGATGATGTGAGCACCCTTCTTGGACGGATCGGGCTTGTAGCCGGTTGTGACCTCCTGGAGAAATAATTTTAAAGGGTTGGATTAATATTGGAGCAAAATTGTCACTGGCATTACGTACGCAGAACTGACGGCCGATGGGGCAGCAAGGTTCTGGAGTGGAGGCCACGTACCGGAAAACGCAGCGTGGGACGTCCACCCACAAGGTGGACCGACGACCTCATAAAGGTAGCGGGAAGGCGCTGGATGCAGGCCGCCACCAACCGGCCATTGTGGAAATCATTGGGGGAGGCCTATGTTCAGCAGTGGACGTCCAGTGGCTGAAATGATGATGATGATGAAAATTGTCACTGAAAAGCCACATACTCAGCATTGGTCTTACGTAGGCGCCTCGAGTAACAAGGAGGCTTACTACTGCATTAACTTTTTTAGAAGGGGCTTGGCTCTGACCATTATGGGGTGGTCACGATTTTAGCAGGAGGAAGAACCAGGATGCGGGCAGCGCAGGATCGTTCATTATGGAAAGCAAGGATGTTATGGATATGAAGTTTCGGTAATGGATACGGTTACGGATATTAGCATAATATTATACCTGTTTACGGTTACGGATAGTAAATCATTTCGGACTATCCGAAAGTTTCGGATAATTTCGGTAACGGATATTAGAATTTAAAAGGGTAAAATTCAAATAGCAAGGTTGCGCGACCCACATAACCACTTTATGGTCGCCACTCAAGAATTTTCCTGCCCCAACGGTCATCGCATGAGGTATGTGCCCCGTCCGCTGCTGCTCGATTTTAGCAGCGGGAAGAACTTGGATGCGGACAGGGCCGTTCATTATGGAAAGCCTTGGGGGAGGTCTTTGTCCAGCAGTGGACGTCATTTGGCTGAAACGAACGATGAACCACAGAATAATAATAAGTACAGAAGTTTTACTTCGCGAAGGTATTTAAAAAAATGTATGCTCAATGTCATTAACAATATGGTGTAATTTAGCCTGCCTCAAGAGTCAAGCACCATTTTGTTGACAAACGTCAGTGATCGGCACTGCGCCGAAGCTATAGGGCTGACTTCGGTAATATGATGTGACGTGAGGTGCCAAACTGCGGAAAATGGCGGAGGAAATACATGATTTAGCATGAATTATCATGAATAATATTAACTACTTATTTACCTCTCAGTGTCTTGAGGCAACTTAAAAAAGTACATTCTGTGTTTTTATTATTATTTAGGCAGTTAAATACTGCACAGTATTTAGTACACCATTTTCTTTATTTTCTTCCATCATATACAAGAATACGCGTGCGTGAGTCAATGTTCGCTCGTATGTGAGGCCTTGTCGAATAGTATCCTGTAGGTGGGCCATCGTGCGTGTTTTGTTTTCGATGTAAACTCGCGGAGATGAACAGGCCTGGTAATACAGACAATACTCACATCGTCCCAGTTCTCTTCTTCAGCGGAAGTGGACGGCAGCGAAGTCTGGACCTCCACGGCCGGCTTGGCGTCGTCATCGGTCACATATAGCTGTGCGTCCAGCAGGATGCGCTTCGGGCACGAGGATATGTGGAACTGAAGATAATGATAATAAATAAATATTAGATCATCGGTCCACCTAGTGGGAGGCCTGCCCAGGGTGCGTCTTTCGGCTCGTGGTCGCCATTCAAGAACTTTCCTGTCCCAGCGGCCATCAGCTATTAGTTTGATAGCCGGCCGGGAATCAAACCCGGGACCTCTCGGCATAGTAGGCCGTTTTACGATAAATGGCCGACAAATAAATTCGTAAAAATAATTATTTCCCAAATTCACGTGTAAACTCGAAAATGATTGAACCAATTGGTTATTATGGGCCATAGAACGAAGTTCACGCGGACATAGCCGCAGGCACAGCTAGTATATTATAATTCTTTATTTCTGTACCCATTTTCATACTAATATAAAATTCAGAGCAGTCGCCTGGCAAGCAAAAGGATGTGGGTTCAATTCCCATCTAAGAACCTAATTTCCAGCTTTATATTAGTTAAATTCGCATTTATTTAACATTCGCATGGCATCCAACTAATGTTATTGTATAAATTGAGTAATACTTAATAATAAATACAAATTAATGTCAATGCTACAAGAAATACTGATCAAACATTTCGTAACTATTATAAGCCTGCTTGAAAAAGGTAGCGTCACAAGTTGGAAAGCTGACCTCATAAAGGAGCCAGTGGTCGACATGTAGCTGAAATGAAGATGAAGAACAAGCGTGCTTGCTTTTAATTTGAATTTAAATAAGCTCAATGTTGATAAAGGTAGCAGGAAGGCGCTGAATGCAGGCCGCTACCAACCGGGCGATGTGGAAATCATTGGGGGAGGCCTATGTTCAGCAGTGGACGTCCTGTGGCTGAAATGATGACGATAATGAAGTGTGCATACCAACCTAACAACCTAAGGGTTGTCCTTAATAAGGCTGATGAAGAAATGCTTAGAAACGAAGTTCAGCTAAATGACATCTACTGCTGGACATAGGTCTCATCCCAAGGCTTTTCATAACGACCGGTCCTGCGCTGCCAGCATCCAGGTTCTTCCCGCGATCTTCACCAGATCGTCGGTCCACCTAGTAGGAGGCCTGCCCTACGTCTTTCGGCCCGTGGTAGCCACTCGAGAACTTTTCTACTCCAACGGCCATCATCTCTATGACTTAGGGGGCGTCCATAAATTACGTGAGGCTTTTAGGGGGGGGAGGGGGTCAAGGAATTTCCGAAATTCTTACGGGAACGGGAAATAGCGGGAAAATCCTTTTGTATGAAAAATCTAAACCGCTTAACTTAGACGCTTAAAATTTGGCATACCTTAGTAAACTTAAAGCTTAGTTACAACAGGATATTGAAAAATTCCCACGGGAACGAGAGTTAGCGGGAAAAAACATTTGTATGAAAAAATCTAAACCGCGTAAGATAGATGAAGGGGGTAAAACGGGATCCACGCGTACGAAGTTGCGGGCGGCCGCTAGTTATAATATAAGTAGAACATTGATACGTACATCCAACTCCACGTCGTTGACCACGTGCGTGGAATCGAACGGGCAGATGACCTTATTGCAGTTGGGGTGCTGCTTCCTACACTTCTGGAGGTGGATGTGCATCCGATAGTGCTCGACCTGGTGAGCCTTGTTGTATGGACAGGTGATCATCTGGTTGGGGGACGGGGCCGCCATGCTGTTGGGAAAATAATTCAAATTAAATCTTTTATTAATTACTTAAGCTCTATATCTCAATTTATATTAGGAGAAATCCTGAGATTTCAGGAATTTTAGACTCTTCTAAGGATTGCGGCCGAAAATCTCAGGATATTTGGAATTTGTAATGAAATAGGTTTAACTTTCTCCCTAATTGAGGTATTTTTTTACAATAATTAAAATCAACACTTATTTATTCCCATTAGGATTTTAAGCAGTGTATAAAAAAAAACAATAAAAATGCGACTTTTTGAAATTGCTCAGTACGTTTTAGAGAAAATTCTCAAACTGCAACAAAATCTCAGGGTTTTGTATTTTTCATCCAGGGTAACCCTATTTCCAGGATACTTGACCACGTCTCAAATATAGCTTGTCTACCACCACTTTGGGACAAGATTGCTGGTGCTAAGAAGAAGTGGTAGAAGAAACTCAAACTAATTATTAACACAATTCACAAAAGGTGGGTAGTTGACACAACTAATCAATAGACACACCTTTAGAGTAGGCGCACACCGTTGATTTTTCGTCAGACGATAGTTTAGTCGGGCAGTTGATCAGTATGGGAGTGCCCACACTACGCCGATTCGATTTGGCCGATTCTTCATACAAATTAAAATCGGGCCCAACTATCGACCGACGAAAAATCAACGGTGTGCGCCTACTCTTAGTCTATAATATAGACTAGTCAATAATATAGACTACCTACTTAAAGTCTACCTATCAAAACTAATATTATAAAGCTGAAGAGTTTGTTTGAATACGCTAATCTCAGGAATTACTGGTCCGATTTGGAAAATGCTTTGTGTTGGATACCCCATTTATCAAGGAAGGCTTTAGGCTATAAACAACACCCTACAGCCAATAGGGGCGGGGCAGTAAAGAAAAATGATACAAAAACGGCAATATTTAAACTATTTTTTTATGTTTGAAGTTACAGGCTCAGCTAGTTTTCAAGAAATGTAAAACTAAGGTAGATTTCAAGGTAAAATGAAACTATTTCAAAGAATTATTGGGCAAACATAGCAAAAATCAAAATTTATAAAAACGGGCGTTGGCTACGATATATCATACGAGACAGGAATAAAAAGCTATAAATAATATTACTATATGTACACATGTAGATTTTAAAAACATGTAGGTTTTAAACACTATTAAAACAATTTATTTGAATTGATAGACTACCTTAAAATTTTATTTGAAAACACCCTATAGTTTTTTTTTTTCAAAGAACCTTTAATGTTTGTTCAATTCAAATATCCAAGTAATTAAAACTTGTTACTGTAAGAAAACACAAATGTGGAAAAACTAGCGTTGATTATCGAGTAGAAAGCCGCCTTATGGCAAATAACTGACTTGGCGGGTACATTTTCGTTACACAAATTTTGCAGTAAAAAAGGTAAAATCAAAGTTGTAACTCTGCCAAAATGATACATTATGGCAGTAAGAAACGCAGTATATCCATAAAATCTGCATTTTCTTGGTGGAAAAATCAGAAATATCTACAAAACGTGTTCATAGAACTGCTGGAATTTAAAAGATGAGATGAAGCTGAAATCGGTGTAAGAAGTGTTAAAAACTCAAACGGTACTTACATTAGATATTTTAGTTTCAACTCCGGTGATGTAGATTGATTTTATTGGCAATAATTCTGTGCAGCAAACGCAAAATTCAAGTTTGCAAAGTCAAAAAGAGAGGAATGAAAGAATGAAAAACTTTGACGTGATTTGCGATTTGCGACTTTTTTTATACGAATTTATCAAAGGAATACAAAAATATACAGCATTTTATTTCAAAATTTCTGCGAATGAAGGTGTTGTTTTACGTTTTCACTTAATTAGACTCATTTTAATCAAGCAAATTAAAAAATACCCTTTAGAAAATGAAAGATTTCGAGATTTATGAGAATTCCTGTATTATTTTTGGTAGTGGCGATGAGTTACAAAATGTTGTAAGTACTATACTATTAAATTTCTTTGCCATTTAAGAAATCAATTTGTCAGTTAGCTTATTTCCTGTTGTCACTGTCATTGTCATCAAACTAAAGTTTTCGCTTTTTCGTGGCTTTTTCTTCAGCTTTTTGCTGTGTCTGTAAAATTTTTATTGGTTTGAAAACGTGTTAGGTTAATAATTCTAGGAAATATTTGACTTTCGCTATACAAAAATGGATGAAGTATTCCAAGATCCTGTTCATTTTTCTAAAGGAATAAACCTAAGGTAAATAAAGAAAATGTTAAAAGTTGAAATACTCTTCAAAGTTCTTTGGCCAGTTTAAAAATCATAAAAATATTAATAACTATCTACTTAGGTGTAAATGTGCTAGACTATTTGGTTCTGTAATTCCATGCATGATACAATAAATTTGATTTTAGGCCATCAGTCAGGCTTAACTCTTGAAAACAATGATAATTTCAAAGAATTTATTAACAGCTAACCTCTGCCTGCTGGCCTGCGTAAATTTCAGTTTTTTTACAGAAAGACCAACTTACTTGGAACTTGTTTTAATTTATTTTAAATGCAGGCACGGATCTAGGGGGCTAACTGGGGCCCCTGAACTGACCTGGGCGGCAGCCTAAGTGGGGCGCTAATAGAAAGGAGGCCCCCTTCATCAAGTTTTTTAATTTTTTTAGGCATCTCATACACTAGAAGGGCCATAATATTTTTTTGCCACAGTCAGAAAAAAACCATTCATACATATTTAATTTATACATACATTACTGTAGAAATTATATCTACATTATTGTGATGATTATAATATTTTTGTTTGTATTATTGTCATTCCACCAGCTCGCACTAAGCGTTTCGATAACTCTTTTATAATGCGAACAGCTAGGGAATGGAATTCGCTGCCTGCTGCTGTCTTTCCTGAACACTATAATCCGGGCCTTTTCAAGGCGAAACTGAATAGGCACATACAGGGCAGATATGTACCATCCTGGACTGCATCTCACTTAACACCAGATGCAATTGCGGTCAAATACCTGCCTTGTCATGCATAAAAAAAACATAAACAAAACCTTATGATTGTTACAGTGAACTCATGACGTCAGCGACAGAGTTCCATATCGATATGGACTTCAAAAAGAAGCACGATGAGTTGACCGATGATCTTTGTCCTAACTTTGATGATGACGATGATGATGATGGGTGAGTAATAACTAGATAACTAGCTTTTGCTTATTTTATACTTCCTTATGAACTAAAGTGTGTTGAACAGTAGTCGGAATGATGTTTAGTGTGGAAATATGATGTGTCTTTTTTTTAGTAAGAGGGTTAGTACATAGATAATTAGATATCATTGGGTAAATCTTAGCTATGACTAATCATGCATATATGAAAACAAAGCAACATTCGCAATCAGAATTTTTTATGAAACAATATGACAAATGTATGTACTGTATATTATGTAAATTTACTGTTGATAATTATCCGATAATTATCGAATAATTATCATGAAGCGTAATTATTAGAGATGAAACGGATAGTTTTTTGGCCGGATACCAGATATCCGGTGAGCTGCTAGGCCGGATAACCGGATATCCGGCGGCCAGATAGTTGGCCCGTTGTCTCATTGCATGTCGTGTCGAGTTTAGCGCCGCACAGCAGGTGCTTCGAACTCGATCAGTGGGTCTAGTAGACTAGAGAAGTCGAAAATCGAATCCGTCCGAAAGAATGTCAGATTTTGCCACTTGTCTAGGGGGCAGATCAATTCGGGCGATTTCGGTTGCCAACGTGAGTGTGTGATTGAATAGCGAAAATTAAATTATTTTTACTTGCTGCGTAATCTGACTGAACTGCATCATGTTATCAGACTATCAGTGAAAGAAAGATCGCCAATTTTAATTAGCAATATTTCGACATTTCGTGAATAGCCCAGAAAAAGAAAATTTTGTTTTTTGAAAGGCCTTAATATGGCTTTTTTTGTAACTTTTTGGACTTTAAATAAAAGCCGTCATTATTATAAGCCATTTTATTGATATTTACCTCAAAGATTAATGTATTTCATTTTATTATAGGAAATTGTCGTAGTTTTTTAATATCCGGTATCCGGCCGGATAGTGAGTTACTATCCGGTATCCGGCCGCATAGTAAATTAAGGCCGGATATTCGGCCTACCGGATAGTTACCGGATATCCGTTTCATCTCTAGTAATTATCTTGATATATCAAACCCATTGACATTATAACCAGCTTTTCGTGCAGGGATAACATAGAAGAAGTGTTAAAGAACATAGAAGAGTCGACGGACAAACTCATGCTGTCGTCTCCGGAGTATTTGTCCTTCAAGGAACTCTCTGCCAAGATGATTGATTGCATTCCCAGTGGGGAAGTGAAGATTCTAATCATTGAAGAAGGTATGTGGGTTCACTTACTTGACTTATGCCCGTTTTCACCATCAATCCCTAATTTTTAAGTGACCCCTATGGTAACAAATAATAGGAATTTTGTTTACATAGGGGTCACTTAAAAATTAGGGATCGATGGTGAAAACGGGAATTAATGTCCTATGTCCCCTAGGTGGGGCAGAGGGCGTCCACAACAGTCCTCCATCGCGTTCGGTATTAAGATACAGGGCGAAAGGCGAGTATTGCCGAAAACAGAATCCCGTCACTAGGGAGGATACCCGGAAAAAACCGAGCGAGTCCAGAAACTCTGAGCTGGTAGCTCCACCACCAGACTAGGGTACAGCAGGTTAATCACCCATTTGCCCGAAAATACTCGATTAACGAAACGTACATGTGGCTAATAAAGGGTAAATTAAATCTTTAGGACGCTAACTACTAGGTGTACTAAGTATGTACTGTCAAAGCTTAATTACATGTGACATTGGGGGAATCTTGGATTCCAAAACTTAAATTATTACCATTTAAAATAGAAGAGTATTGGACATTTCATAAGTTAAAGGCATACTATCCAGTGCCCTCTTAGGGTGTCTTCACGCGAGCGATTTCGAGGCGCCATCGTTTGATAGCAGCGCACGATTCTTTAGCGCGTACCTATTAGTGTCCGACCGAATATGGATTTTCAGCCGAAAACGGAAACGAAAACGAAGCTTCGGCTGCAGTCTCATTTTCGGCCGAAAACGAAAACGAAAACGAAAACGAAAATGACCTTCAACTCTCAAATTTCAATCTGCAATTATGTAAAAACTTTGAAAACCGTTAATGTTTTGACCAAAAACATAATGATGTTTGACAGTTGTTTTTGATAAGGATTGATTAAAGAAAACTGGCATTAAAACAAAAAGTTGAATTTTATGAGTTCTTAATAGAATATTATTTCCGGTGTATATTGAAATATTGGGAAGTGAAGAAGAAATAAAGGGTGCCCAGTGGGAATTTTTCAACTTCAAAAATGATTCATACAAATAAATTAATGATCTTTTATTATTTATTACTAATGCAAACTGGAGTTTAACAATGCGGATTTTTTTTTATAGGCAATGTCTTTTAAATGATGCCCGTTTTACTATAGGTACTCTCACAGCTGGACCCTTACATTCGCAATGCTAATGCGAATGCGAGAGCAAATCGCGCTAATAATTTTCCTGCAACTTCACGGCGGATATTTTCTTACAGAACCTGAATTATTTAAGGATTGTTTTGCTGTAAACTTTTGACTTGAGATATCCCCACACGAAAAATTCGCATGGTGTGAGATCAGATGACAGAGGCGGCTAGAAAAAATAGTCCTCAGTGTCTCCATCGAGGTACTCTCCGTGTGTGGTGAGACACCTTCTTGCTGTGAAAACTCTTTGGTTTTATTTGTATTCAATTTTGAACTTGGAAAATTTACAATGTAACCTCACTTCAAAACTTCACAAGATTTTGACAATACCGCGTCCGTTAAAGTCTGATTGGAACCATGAGTGCATCAGATTCACTCCCGAAGATATCGGAACGATAAACGTCACCATCTTATTCACGTATTTCTGATATTCGGTTTGGCCGAAGCTTCGGCTGGTTTTTGGCCGAAAACGAAAATATGGCCGAATGTCCATTTTTTGGCCGAAAATGGCCGAAAACGAAAACGAATATTCGGTCGGTCACTAGTACCTATTTTCTGCGACGTGCACGCTGCGATTCAAACTGCGCACAGTGATTCGAGTAGAACAAGCTAGCTGGACAATATTATTTTTTACTTTAATGTGTTTAATACACGCATTACTTACTTTATTGTGCAATTTAAGATTAATTAGGCTTGTTATTATAATTATTATAGGTAGGTCTGAAAAAAAATTTTTTTTTGGTAATAAAATATTTATTTCCTAAAATCAAGAGAAACAGACTAAAAAGGAAAGAAGAAACTAACTTTACAGTATAATAATAATTGGTCTTATGGAGAATTTAATGAAAATCAATTTTTCGATATAAACATTTTTGCGATTTATATGGAACAAAGAATCTCAGTTTTTTTTAATTTAGTGGGTAGATTGGGACAACATTAATGACTTGTCAAGTTGCTGTGGCCAGCAGACATTTGCGCTGCAGCTTCAGCAGCCAATATCAGTTCTCAAGTACTTCTTGAGGAAATGAGGTCTAAAAGTCTTCTTCTTTTCGTCTTTTTGCTGGACTCGTCGAACTCCTTGAGTGGTCGTCCAGGTGTAGAATCTTTCGACGTGGAAGACTGAACTTTATGAACAGAAACATGTAACACTATGGCTCCGGGAATCCACTCAGTTTTGTTTTTCATGAAGCGTTCCCTGTTTTGCCGTATTTCGTCCATTGAAATGAAATTGAAATGCGACTGATGGTATTCTTCAACTCTCTCAGCGAATTTTCGTGATCCCAATACATCACATTTTGAGAATATAAATTAAAAATCATGCTATTCTGGACACTTTTTCAATGTTTTAATCATTAATCAAAAAACTTGATTTTTTATTAATCTGAAAAAATAAAATTGTTGTGCAAAAGTGTGCAAACTGAAACTGGTATATTATTTGAATACTAGAGAGTTACAGCTACAATATAATATAAATTCCAGACTGGGGTCAAGTGGGGGCATACAACTTCTAGTCTTCCAAACATAAAATTTTGAGAAAAATATAAAGGTCAACATTTCGCCATACTTTTTAAAACTATGTGCATTATTATGCACCTTATTGTACAGAAAAACCCTTATCTTCAAAATCCATCACACAAATATTTGGTCACCATAGTAAAAAATAATGTCAGGTGTTGTCGAAAGTCGAGCAAAATTAGGAATTAAAAATTACACTATCCTCATATCCTCACTTACCATGTTAATTGCTCACGACTAGGTAATTAACAAAGTCAAAAAATGTGGAATTCTTAATGTCTGGGATGTTGTTTATCGTTTTTTATAAACGATAATCAGAAATTCAACAATGACTTTTGTCCAGCTAGCTTGTTCTACACGAATCACAGTGCTGCGTCGCGAGCCGGCAGCAAGCACGCCTAGGAAATAATTCGCTCGTGTGTGCGCCCTTATGTGCTCATCAATAGTTTAGATTAATCTATTGTCTTCAGGTACGGGTCCCTTAGTGCCAGTAGACGCCCAAGTGACGATCCATTACGCAGCTTACTGGGAGAAGACCAAGATTCCCTTCGACTCAACACTCACTATGAACTCTGGTGCACCGTTGGTAAGTGTAGTTATAGGCCGATGGTGGAAGCGAGCTTTATCAGAAATCCTCAATCACGGAGGAACTGGCTATCCTAACCTCTAACTGCCGTAACACAACAATGCTGTTAACATTGTTGTTATGGCGACAGACTTAGGTAAGATGGTGGTAGCTAGCCGGGCGGACTTAGAACAAGCCCTACCACCAACCAAACCGAACAGAAAATCTGCCCCCACTGGGAATCGAACCCGGGACCTCTGCGTCTGAAGCAGGTGGTCTTACCACTAGACCACAGAGGCGGTTAAACCTCGCTGGAATGTGACTCTCCCTCGCACTCACCCGCACACCTCCCCGCGCTCGCTCTGTCCTTAACAGAGCGGCGATGTGACGTCACGGCCGCCAGATGCGTAGTTTACTCGGTCGGTTTGTATACTTTTATGTGACATGTACATATTTATGAAAATTCTTTTGCTTTGAATAGTTCACTTATCGAGGAAGGCATAGGTTTGACGTGAATGACGTTCACTGCTGGACAAAGCCCTCCCCTAAGTTTTTCCACAACCACCGGTCCTGCGACCTGTATCAAGGCACCTCTCACAACCCACACCTGTGTGCTTACCATAGGTGTGCTCGCTAGCGACTGCGTAAAAAATTGGCATTAAATGTATGACATATTGTGCAGCGTCCCTAGCGGCTACTTTCAAGAAATAAAATCTTCATAGATTTTTTGACGTACTCGTTTTTACTCATGGTAAGCACACAGATCGTCGGTCTACCTACACTACGCCCACACTACGTCTTCCGAGGGCACCTAGTCTATACCTACAAACCAATATTTTTTTGACTCTGACTTTTATTCCAGAAAATCCGCCTCGGCTCTGGCCGCTGCCTCCCAGGCCTCGAAATAGGCTTAACAACAGTGCGGGGCCCCACCGCCCGCTTCCACTTGCTAGTGGAGCCGCGTTTAGCTTGGGGCCCGCGGGGCGCGCTGCCCCGCATCCGCCCTGAGCCGGCCCTGTTCGTCATCTCGTTGTACGCTGTGAGGGACGTGCACGCTGCTGCGAGGTTAGTTCTTAAGATTACTGTGTATTTAGGACCAGAACTCATGTTTTTAAGTTTTTTAACACTCAGAATTACATAAAAGGTATGTGTACACATTGTAGATAGGCTAGAGATATCATCATCAACAACAGGTCATATTTTAGTCTATCCCATTGGGAAGAATGGGTGAGGTCCTCCGTTTTTACGACTTCCATGGGTAGAATGGGAGTTTCTAGCGACACGGGAAGAGTGGGAGTCTGTTAGAACGCCATGGCCTTGTGCTACGAGCGACTCTCTCGATTCGGATGTTCTAAGTATTCTTAGATGAGATCTTACACTATGAAGACTATGTCGTCAAGAAATAGACGTACACGCTGCTGCGAGGTCAGTTCATAATGGATATTTATTAGGTCTTAAGGTAAGTGGATCCATTGTACATAGGCAAGACGTCATCATCAGGTCATTTAGTCTCCATTTTAGAGGCAAATGGCGGATACACCTATATTTCCCACGCTGCGCTGGCTAGACGGGTTGACAGTTGTAATTACGAAACCTCTTTGCTCCAGCTTTAGTTACTTCTCTCCGCGACCTGACCACTTTTGTTTAGGGGTTTTGACTGCTGATGTTTCTTCATTAGATGCTTCTTACAACATCTATGGTAAGAGTAGGAGTCTTTAACTATAAGAACACCATGGTATTGTATCACAAGCGAGACTCTCGACTCGGAGACTAGGTAGAATTCTCACATTGCAGCACACATTGTGTGAAGTCTGTGGTGGATCGCCCCTGGTGCCATCCTATGCTACGCCGCTACTGGTGTACCGATAACACTCAAACATTAGCGGAAGAATGATGGGGCGCGTCTTTGTGTATGAAACGATCGATATGTGGATCAATTCTATCTAGATGTCATCACCATTATCAAACGAGCCTAATCCCACCTCTTTCCCACCACTGAAACTCCTGTATTAGTCACGATCTAGGAGGCTTCATCTACACCTTGGCCTCCAATGAAACTCAACTAGTGATTGTTGAGTCGTCCCAAGAGTAAGCTTCATCATCATAACTTCAGCTATAGGACGTCCACTGCTGAACATAGGTCTTCCCCAATGATTTCCACAATGATCGGTCGGTAGCGGCCTGCATCCAGCGCCTTCCTGTTACCTTTATGACGTCGTCGGTCCACTGGGTGGACGTTCTACGCTGCGCTTTTCGGTCCACTCCAGAACCTTACTGCCCCATCGGCAGTCAGTTCTGCGTGCTATGTGACCTGCCCATTGCGACTTCAGGCTATGTCAGGTCAGGTATTTATACTTACTTTTTTTGGTTTTTGTTGCAGATTCAACGACCTACCAATGGAAGAACAGAAAAAATTCGAAGTGACCGCCAAAACAGTGTCCTCCCTCCATGCTCAAGCTAAAGAGTTATTCGCGAAGAAAAGGTACAAAGAAGCGATCAAAAACTATCAGCAATCCATGTCTGTACTGAGGCTTTCTAGGCCAAAAGACGAAAATGAAGAGGCAGAGATTAAACAGTTCAAAATCAGCGTATACACCAACCTATGTGTGTGTTACTGCAAGATTAAGAAGCCAAAATACGTTTTCATAATGTGTGACAATTTAGATAGAATAAGTAACCTTGATAATCATTGCAAGGCTTTATTTTATTGCGGTCGTGCACATGAGCTGCTAAATAAACACGAATTAGCCATCAAATATTACAAAAAGGCCCTAAAATTAGAGCCGAAGAACAAAGAAATAGGGAAAGCACTGGCCGCTATTGATGACTACGTAAAAAAATCGGCCGAAAAAGAAAAAGAGCTCTGGCAAAACGCCTTCAGGGCGGCGCCGAAAAAAGAAAAAGTCACGTTTGACGTCGATGAGGACTTCCAAAATGGCGTCCGCGAGATGTGTCAAGATTTGGCGGGAAGGACGGAATATGCTAAGTTTGATCTACCCACGGGTTTGACGAAGAATGAAATTGATTGCATTCAAAGCTTAGCTAGTGATTTTGAAAGTCTGTTGGTTCAAATCGACGGAGAAGGCAAGAAAAACAAGGTTTCTATTATCAAGAAACAGTTTTAAGGTTGTTTTTATTATGAATTGTACAGTTAACGTTAAAAACGCTTATTCTATTAGGTATTTTTAGTGTCTATCGCTATAAACGGATTTACATAACTATTAAGTACATTAGAATATGTATTTCTTATAAATAAATGTACTAGTAGTAAATGGTCAATTAGATTAGCCAACAAATGGAGCGATACGAGGCTATTGGTTGTATTTAATACTTTAATTAGCAATATTAGTACAAAGTCCGATCGCCGAGCACGTATAATTTCGTTCAATGACCCCAAGCTACCCATCCTTATCACTCGCACGTAATTATAATATTGTGTCACGACTGTGCGACGGGCGACCGCAGTGAGTGTGCGAGCGCGACAGCAATATAATTATGCACGAGCGATAAGGATGGGTAGCTTGGGGTCATTGGACGCAATTTTCCGTGCTCGGCGACCGGACTAGTAGTGAAAATCTATAAAAACAAATGTGTTTTAAGTTTTATATGTAAGTTTTACACTATCTTAAATAAGTAGTTAGAAATGTGCTTACAACCCGGTTGAGTTAACAGGTGCGCTGGCTGCCGTGACGTCACATCGACGCTGTGGTACGGACAGAGGAAGAAGCATTCCAGCGAGTCTCTCGATCGGGTTGTAAAATAGTGATATTACTTTGTTATGAAAATTGTACTTATTTTTTACTGTTTTATAGTTTTTATAATGACGAAACGTCCTTATTTTTACTCAAGTGCCATACTTTTTTATGGGACAATATTATTTGATCCTCTAAAAACTAATTGATCTTTTTTGTATGTGCACTTTTAAAAATAAATGATGTATTTTATTATATTTTATCTTTATATTAATTATTGGGTCTATATTAGTTGATCTACTGATAAACTATGAATGATCTTCATTTAAGGTAACATAATATTTATGTTTAACATACTCTTTTAATATTTGGTAAACAAAAATAATATTTGATCCTCTTTTTTAGTTATTGATCTTTAATTTTGTTAATTTGATGATATTTATATCAAGTTTGCCTTTTAATATTGATCACCTAATAAATACATTTCGATCTATGTATAACTTAACTTTAAAATATATTTGATCTAACTAAAAATATTATTGGTTAATATTTTTAATTAAAAAATATCTTTTAATTTACGCGGTACTTTGTGGTTGAGTGACAATCGTCCGTCATTGGTATATAGACAAAAAATAATTTATACAAATCGAATTATTTAAAAAAGTATCACAATATTGAATATTTGGTGCTCATTTCTTTTATTTTTGAGGACCAACAAGTAACGATCAGATATAATTTTTACATCTCAATAATTTTTTGCGTAGTTCAAAAGAGATTAAAATATCGATCGATTTCATTTATTTTGTGTCTCAAAGAAAGAGGATCAATCATTAAAATAGATGACCATTTAGATTTTTTTAATTGCCGTTTTTGCTAATTTAAAAAGATCATTTAAATACATGCCCTTTTTTATTCCACTATGTAAGTTAACTTACGAATAAATAAAACGCTTTTGATTACTTGTTTGGTTTCATTTTAGTTACCTAGAAACCTAGATTCAATGATCCTAGAATTAGAACGTAGTAAGTAGTACATTCTGGTTGAAGAATTATAGAAAGATAATTTCTAGCCTTCTACAAATTAAGTTAAAAACGTTTTAGACAAAAAATATGGTGTGTGTTTATCCAAAACGTGGATAGGTGTTCAATATTAGTTATTTTATTTCTTTCAATATTTTAACCCTTATTCAAATGCGAGCTGGTATGCATTTTTTTTACAAAGTTGGAGTGGATTTTGGGTAATTGTGGGTCACTTATTTCATATTTTTGATCAAAATTAATAAAAAAATAGGGGAAGGGGTAGTTTTTTGGGTGGTAAATAATTTACCATTATCCATTCATGACTACCAATTATTAAAGGCATGTATTTAAATGATCTTTTTAAATTAGCAAAAACGGCAAATAAAAAAATCTAAATGGTCATCTATTTTAATGATTGATCCTCTTTCTTTGAGACATAAAATAAATGAAATCGATCGATATTTTAACCTCTTTTGAACTACGCAAAAAAAAATTGAGATGTAAAAATTATATCTGATCGTTACTTGTTGGTCCTCAAAAATATAAGAAATGAGCACCAAAATATTCAATATTGTGATACTTTTTTAAATAATTTGATTTGTGTAAATTATTTTTTATCTATATCAAATAATCTTCATAATAATTATGTTATGGTACTTATTTTTATTAATTTGTAGTCAAAGGATGGAAACTATTTAAAGGCACTTGATGTTTAAAGATTTTTTTTTATTAAAAAAGCATACTTAACACGTTCACACTGCGTTATTGGGTCAAATTGACCTTAGGTGCTGGATGCGTTGGTGCGGGATGATATATTCGGTCTTTTCAGTAGTACGAAAGATAAATATTGTTTTGCAATTGTTTCGTCAAACACAGTAAATATTTGGAAAAAAAAACTTATCAGGGCCTTACGACCCGATGTCGCACTAAAAGTAAACAAATATCGTTTAGTGTTTTTATCGGGTCTAATCGACCCATTGACAGATGACTTTATGGTCACTGATCACGGTCGAGATCGGTATACTAAGAGAAAATCAACCTTGCGATTTGAAAAAAAATAAAAAGGTAAAAATTATGATGTCGGGTTCAGGGATGTCAGAAGTAAGAAATTATTTTACATCGCGCCTCTAGTCCCTAACTAAGCAAAGCTTGTAATTGAAAACATGGTAATGTACCATTCTGCTTGCTTATTGGCCGCTAAGCCCTTGGCCAACTCAGTAACCAATGACGGACGATTGTCACTCAACCACAAAGTACCGCGTAAATTAAAAGATATTTTTTAATTAAAAATATTAACCAATAATATTTTTTGTTAGATCAAATATATTTTAAAGTTAAGTTATACGTAGATCGAAATGTATTTATTAGGTGATCAATATTAAAAGGCAAATTTGATATAAAAATCAACAAATTAACAAAATTAAAGATCAATAACTAGAAAGAAAGAAAGAAAGAAAGAAAGAAACATTTATTGCCATGGACATCACAGAAGACAAAAGATGTAAATAATAGAAAAAAAAAAGTAAATAAGACATAGGTGACATAAAATAAAACATACAATGAAAGTGAAAGTAAAACTGAGCAGTGCCACCCTGTCGCACAGCGATGTCCATCGCAATGGGACCCCACTCAGCATATGCCATGGCCCCCGGTGAGGGAGGCCACGACGCTGGTTTTCAGTGTGCCCCATGCCGAGTGGGAGTCACGGACACTAACCTATACTGACTAAAAAAGAGGATCAAATATTATTTTTGTTTACCAAATATTAAAAGAGTATATTAAACATGAATATTATGTTACCTTTAATGAAGATCATTCATAATTTATCCGTAGATCAACTAATATAGACCCAATAATTAATATACAGATAAAATAAAATAAAAAACATCATTTATTTTTAAAAGTGCACATACAAAAAAGATCAATTAGTTTTTAGAGGATCAAATAATATTGTCCCATTATTAAATGTTGGTGGTAAAATAGTTACCATTGTCCATCTTGGTTTGTTTTTGGTTCTTGACTAGTGACTTCCTCTTGGCTCTACCTATATTTTATTAAATATTTTGGGAATGAAAAATTTTTATTGTTTTTATAAAAAATATATTTGTTAATATTAGTTATTATGCTTACAATTATTATTCTTACCTTGAGTCTGAAACTAACAATTCACTAATTACGTAACGTCAAAACGTTAATATAAAAAAACTTAAAATTTCTCCAAATATTTATTTAGTTTTATTTGTGCACATACAAAAAACAACAGTTTTTTTTATATATCATCAAACTTTCATCATGACGGGATCGGACAGTGGTAAACTATTTACCACTTCTTTAAAATGTCTAAATTATATGAATAAATCAATTGCAGACGCTGCCTATAAGTGAGATTATACAATAAATGTTATAGTTTAAGAATTTGAATCGAAAAAACACTTATCAGAATTTTCGTTAAACAAAGTTTCAAAAATACCAAAAACGCGCGCTAAAAACTTGAATTTTTTCACAACAAAACCGTTTGGTTGACTTTGACATTACCTGACAGTGACAAATGACGTTGAAAAGTTGTAAAATGTAAAAAAAAATATTTAAAAATATAAATAAGTGACCACAATATCTTTAAGTATTACCATATCGAATATTAGGATCCTTTTTTAAAAGTAAACGAAGTGGTAATATATCTACCTTTATTTGAATAAGGGTTAAAGTTTATTGTGATGATTGTGAGCTGTGTGTAGCTGTGATTGTGACCATTCAACACAACCAAATTTTTTGAGAGTGCGAGAAACGGAACGTTATTTTCGTTTCATTTTTCATAGACTTAAAAAAATATGTATCATATCAAAAACTATAAGAGTAATTATAATTTAAATTGAATTAATTTTAACGTGTATTATGTAAATTATTAAGTTAAAATATTTTCGAAAAGAAATTAAATAACATTTGACAGCTTACACGTGGCATACACTTTCGTTGTGAAAACGAAACGTTGCTGTCAACGTCAAATTCTTCTGACGTGTTTCTTTAGCACTGCTTTTCGAAATCGTAAGCGAAATAAATCGCTCTAATATTATTATCAATACAGATAGACGATAAGCTAACACACAAGACCACGTATTTGACTTACATTCGCAGGTAATAATCGATTTTCCACACTTTTCCATACTATTGAGTGAATAAAAGTAAAGTTGTTTAAAAGTGACTGTAATAACTTTTCCACGGTAAATTTGCATGTAAAAGCAGTTTTTAATAAGTCTTTCAATCATAGCCGACGTGTCCAAAGCGTGTTTGTGTTATATGAAGTTGGTTAATCCGTGCTTTCAGGTGAAAATGTTACGTCTTATTTTTCTTACTGCTGTGCTACAATGCGCTATAGCGCAGCAATATCAACAGAAAGTGGCCCCTGGAGTGCCTCCACAGAACTATCAGGTACCTATCCCTATTTTATTCTACTTAAAATCCCCATTTTCGTACTAAAACTTTACCAAAATTGCCAAAATTTGTAACAAGTTTCACTTCACCGTCTGGAATCTGTTTTAATCAGCTTTCTGCTAATTCCTGAAGTTACTTAATTAATCATCTTATGTAGTCTTCATATGTGTTTATTTCAAAATATTGGAAGTTCAAGGCCAAAATATGGTAATTTATTTCAATACTAGTTTCATATCTTGTTGACTTCCGAACTAAGTTTGTCTCTTTTTCAGAACTATCAACAGCCACCACCACCTCCTCCCCCTCAACAAGTAAGTTTTTGAACAAATTCTATTAATTTCTTTATTTATTAATTTGACAAAGTTTCTGTATGGGTTTTATTTTTAAGCCCTGATGAAAAAACTACGGAATGTTATTAAATTTCTTTTTAACTTCCTCATTTTTATAACATAATTATATTGCTATTTATACATATAAAAAGTATTGCTATTATTTAATTAAGTATATTTTTTATTTTACTTCATAATGCTCTGTTTTTATGTTATTTTTGTGCAACCAACATCATTAGTCAACTACTATTAAGTTAAATTATAAATCATTAAAATTTGTTGTAATTTGCGAAATAATAGTTATCATTAGCTAAATGAAGTTGTGAAACAATACATGAATGGTATTAATTACTACATTGCACAAAAATTTGATAAAAACTTGCTAAAAGTTCTAATAAAATGTATGGAACAGCTGAGATTTTTCATGCTATTCATATCATTTTGTATCTTGTCTCTATCTATGTATATTAAGAATGTATTTACAAAAACATAGGTACAGTGTGTTTTTTTATAATGGATAAAAAATTAATCCTACTGCTCAAATTAAAAAGTAGTATTACTTAAGTAGTATACCTTGATTTTTTAGAATCCAGCAGAGATGTAAACAAACATTTTCATACACAATTACACCATAATCACTTACGTGTTCATAATATCATACACATTATTTAACAAGCCCATGAAACCAACTTTATTTTCACGTTTATACAAGTTTGAAATCAATATTTGAAACAAATTATTTTAGCAAAATACGTGGACGATGAAAATTTGTGAGACTTGTCAAATTGACTTGACGTTTAAAATCATGTGTTATCTCCATATTGTCTATGACTTGTCTCTGACACATCAGTGCTGTTACCTGTGAGTCATAGACAATAATCTGTAAATTTAATCGATATTATTTTAAGCATTCACTTATTCCGATTACTGATTAATTTTAAATAAAAAATGTACGATACTTTGTTTAGTTTTCCAGCGATATTTTGACAATATTGGAGATAACGTAAAATTATTTTTCTACTTTTAGTGTTTACTTTTTCGGAGTCAGTTAAATTTTTAGTCGGTTTTATTTAAACGAAACAACGTAGCAACACTGTCAAACAGTACTTTTTGCAACTATTTGAAGTTAAATAACTTTACGGATATCATTGATTGTTTTACTGTCCAGTGTGTTTTTTGATTACATCTGTGCATATAGTTTGTTTCCTGTAGGTCTAGACAAAGTGCAAATTATAATCGCAAACCAGTCGATAAGTGGTCGAAAAGCCCCTTTTTTGTATGGAGTTTTGACGGATTCGATTTTCGATTCGATCAAAAAGTGCGTTTTGTCTAGGGGGGCTGTTCTCGAAAATTTCATAATCAGTTCACATTCAATGTTGCGACTTTGTTGCATATTTTTAGTATTTTGACGATCACCCGGCGATGATACGCAAGTACTACAATAATTTCACTTCGCGATTAACGAGAAGTTTTGTCGCATCACTAGTTCACAGACTAAAAATATTTTTATGTCAGTTGGCCATTTTTGATGACATTTCTGCTGATTTCTAAAAAATTAGACTGTAGAATCCTCACTTTTTTTTCATCAACCACAAAAAGAAACACCCAATATTTATTATCTGGTGCACACAGTACAAGCTTTGCTAAGTTTGGGCCTAGATGTTGCAATGTTAAGTGTCCAAGGATAAAAAGACTAAAGGGCGTAGCACACTTATCAACCCAGAAAGGGATCGTAACCGTATCAACTGGAGGCGGTCAGTATTCTTTGTATGAAACTATACTGCAACACAAACCGCACCGTAACGTAAACGCCTCGTCTCGCAGTTGACAGCGCGCGTAAGGCGATGACAGCGCGCGAAAGGCGATACGGTGTTGATCCCTTTCCGAGTTGATAAGTCTGCTATGACATTAACTTCCTGCTTCTTCTCCAGAACCAGCAATTCCAACAACAACAGCAGTACCAACAACAACAATACCAGCCGCCACCGCCGCCGCCACAACAACAAGTGCCGGTTCAACAAGTGCCGATTCAACAACAACAACAGCAGCCGCCGCAACAAGCTTCTCATGGCCATGCTCACCACGGTGGTAAGTTATTGACTATTCCCACCTCTCTGGAGCTCTTTCCCACCTCCCGTTCCCACCTCTAGTTCCGACCTCTCTTTTCCCACTTGTAGTTCCCACCTCTGGTAAGTTATACGCGACTATTCCCACTTCTTTTACCCATCTCAAGTAACACGGAACTATTCTTACCCGTCGTTCCCACATTTCGTTCCTAGCTCTCGTTCCCACTTCTCTTTCCCACTTGTAGTTCCCACCTCTCATTCTCACTTATAGCACAGAATAATAATAAGTACTACGTACAGAAGGTTTACTTCGCGAAGGTATTTAAAAAAATGTATGCTCAATGTCATTAACAATATGGTGTAATTTAGCTTGTCTCAAGAGTCAAGCACCATTTTGTTGACACACGTCAGTGATCGGTACTGCTCCGAAGCCATATTATGGCTTACTTCGGTAAAATGATGTCTGAAGTGAGGTGCCAAACTGCAGAAAATGGCGGAGGAAATACATGATTAAGCATGAATTATCATGAATAATATTAACCACTTATTTACCTCTCAGTGTCTTCAGGCAACTTAAAAAAGTACATTCTGTGTTTTTATTATAATTTAGGCAGTTAAATACTGCACAGTATTTAGTACACCATTATCTTTATTTTTTTCCATCATACACAAGAATACGCGTGCGTGAGTCAATGCTCGCTCGTATGTGAGGCCTTGTCGAATTTTAATCCTGTAGGGTGCCATCGTGCTTGTTTTGTTTTCTATGTAGGTAAACTCGCGGAGATGAACAGGCCTGCTTATAGTTCCCACATCTCAACCTCACCTCTCGTTCTCACCACTTGTTCCCATTTCTCTTTTCCACCTCTCACACCCACCTCTCTTTCCCACTTCTCATTCCTACTTCTCATTCCCACCTCTGCCGTGTCGTTTTTCATAGAATAATCTTGACACTTATTGTCGACATTTGGTCCTTCGAGCCGGATATTAATTACTAAGAACTCTTGTTACAACTAGTGCTATGTAATATCGTGTTGAAGTAATGTTTTTTTTTTCGTTTATTTTCAGATCCTCAGCTATTAAACCCCGCCAACATAGCTCACGAAAGAGAGTAAGTTCATTTATTGGATAATATATTGTTATATTATTTAATTAGAACTGACAATCGATTTTCTATCTATGTTATAGTCCGTCCGACTAATGAAGCGAAATACCTACTTCTACAATGTTATTTGAACATCTTTTCTACAAAGTACAATTTAATTCCCTCCCATCCACAAGGTGGACCGACGACCTCATAAAGGTAGCAGGAAGGCGCTGGAGGCCCGCTACCAACCGGGCGATATGGAAATCATTGGGGGAGGCCTATGTTCAGCAGTGGACGTCCTGTGGCTGAAATCATGATGATAATTTATCAATATCAATTGCAACCGCATTTTCCCTCACTACAAATTTTTTTTTTTTTTTTTCTTCTGTGCTTCATCTGCAATCAGTCTCCCGACTATGAGCGGATGAGTTGTAGTGTCCTTTGCATGATAAGTGTCTTCTCCACTGAGAAGACTACTTCTTTATGTATTTCTACACTCTCCAGTGCAGACTCAGGATGTCATGCCTCTTGAGGCGTTTGCTATAGCTTTTTTGGAGCAGTTCCGAAGCCAGCTCATTGGGGTGCAGGGCCAGCCGTTCTTGGTAGCTTTCTGCAGTGGATCGTATTTCCTCCAACACTGTGTTCATCTGCAGGGCCTCGTGGATCTCGGTGTTTGTAACTAACCATGGGGCACATGATATGGTACGCAGAATTATATTCTGAAGCCTCTGTATCATGGAGAGGTTTGAGTTGCATGCACTACCCCACAGCTGTATTCCGTACATCCAGATGGGTTTCAGTATGGATTTGTAGATTAGCAACTTGTTGTCTGTGGAGAGTTTACTGTTGCGTCCGAGAAGCCAGAGCAGCGACTTGTATTTAATATTGAGTTCTTCTCTCTTTGCCTTAATATGGTATTTCCATGTCAATCTGCGATCGAGGTGCATACCGAGATATCTTACTCGGTCGGTGTGAGGCAGAGTATTATCCCCAAGATGAACCGGTGGACAATCCCCTCTTTTGAGGGTGAATGTTATGTGCATGGATTTAGCTGCACTTGCCTTTATTTGCCATTTGTTTAGCCAGGTGTTGATCTCATTCAGTCCCCTCTGTAAGTCCTGTGATGCAGCCGTTTGATCTTTATTGCAGGCGATTATCGCAGTATCATCTGCGTATGTAGCTATGGTAACCCCCTCCACATCCGGTAGATCCGCAGTGAATAGCGTATACAGTAATGATTTTATTCTTGAGATAAAAGTTAATAAATAAAATAAATAATAAATAAATATCCTTAGACATTTTACACTGCGCTTCTAGTCCCAAACTAAGCAAAGCTTGTACTATGGGTACTAGACAACGGATATAAACATACTTAAATACTTTTTTTTTGTAAATACATACTTATTATACATAGAAAACACCCAGTCCAATACAAACAAATATGTTCATGCACACCAATGTTTGTACTGTGCGGGAATCGAACCCGCTACCTCCGGAAAAGTAGTCCGTTTAGAACCACTACACCAAACGGGCGACAATACAAACCTAGCATTTAAAGTCTCGCTTTAATGTATTTAATGCACGTTGAACTTTCTTCTCTCACTCTCTCTCATTTTAATTAAATTAAAATATAGTTCCATATTTTACTGAATTTTACTAAATCAATATCAACTAAACACACTCTAGTCAAGTGTAAGTGATGTAGTAGAAACTAATCGAGTATAGTTTGGAAATGACTTTTTTTACTAAGCTCTTCCAAACTATACACGATCAGTACGCAAAATTCGTGTATAGTTTGGAGTCACAGATTTACAAACAGGCACTACAAAATATACACGAGCAGTTTCCTATGGGTGCGTTCTGGCCATGTATAGAACGGAAAGACGCTACGAGAGCCCCAATTAGTATGCTTAGAGTTCCAGTCTCCCCCAGCTATGAAACGACACCCCAACGTACTGAAGAATTGCGTGAACATAGCGTCGGTAATTTTGTGCTTTGGCGGGCAGTACACTGCTGATACGTTGAAACTGCCAGAGTTGTCCTCTATGGCCACTGTGGTTGCTTGGATGGGCTCTGTTGCATACTCTTCTAGAAGACAGTGTTTGATGCTATTGCGAACTACAACGGCAGTTCCCGCATGTCCCGTTCCATCCGGGTGGTTTGTGCTGTACGTGCAATATCCCTTAATACTCACTTTTGAGGAGCTTGTGCAGTGAGCTTCAGAGCACAGTAAGACGTCAATTTTGTGTAGATTCAGGAATATTTCTACGTCATCTTTGTTGGGAGCTAGGCCGTTTATGTTCCATGTAGCCATTCTAAGTGTAGCCATTAGGCTAGCTTACTGACAAGTGTTGTTATGAGACTCAGCAAAGTACTCATTTGTTGTAGGATTGCTTCAAATTTTTGTGTTTGGGCTGCAAGTATTTTTTCTATTGTATAATTTTCAGAGTCCGATTCTGTTTTTTTTCCTGTGTTCTGATTGTCATTACTGTGTGGTTTATGTGTGTTTTCTCTATTTTCCAATTTACAGTTTTGTCGCGGGGGTAGTTTCGGCCATGCCTCCGTTTTTGCTGGATTAACTATAGCTGCGTCCTTGTTGACAGAGTTCACCTCGTTTTTCCTCCGTATCATGTGAGAGGGGGCTGACTTCCTTGAAAGAATTTCTTGGTACACTTCGCAGCCCTTATAGTTTGCTGGATGTGCGCCATGACACAGTGCGCATTTAGCCGGAGTGTTTCTGTCATGTTTAGGGCATTCGGATGTTTTATGTGGTTTGGCACATTTGACACAGCGGTATGGTCGCATACAGAAGTTTTTTGTGTGCCCATATTGTTGGCATCTTTGGCACTGTACCACGGTTTTTTTTCTTTTTGGGTCCTCTATTATGACTGTTTGGTGATATATGTATTTAATATCTTTTACGGCTTTGTTGTTCGGTCCAGGTTCAATATTCACAAAGAAAGTTGAAGTTGGTTTTTTATCAGGTCCATACCTTGCATTTATTATTTCGCCTGCTATTTTATTTCCAGTATCCTCTACAGCTTCTGAAATGTTAGGACTTAATATCAGAAATATATTTTCATATAAATAACTACCAAAAACTCCCGGGTTTGCTTGGAAATTGACATAATGTGTAATAGTAATAGGTGCTTTATTGCGCAAACAAAAAATATTATTAATTAATATACCTACTTATCTCCTTACATTTTAAATACATTAAGTTATTTATCCATTATTATGTCCAACAGTTCAAGAGTGGGGTCAACAAATGGTATATTTAAACCATGTTCTACATTATAAGCGTAGGACCATACCTAGGTACCATTTAGAGAAAGGACATGAACACAGTCATGTTTCAAGGGGATTTCTACCAGTTAAGTAGTAGTGTCGCATAATCGATCACGGATCGATTATTAATCGATATTGCCAAATATCGATGTATCGATTAACAATTCGATTAATCGATTTTATTGATTACCATCATTACTATCATTTGATTGTTATTTCAATTCCTTATTTTCAGCAATATAATCGATTATTGCAATCGAATAATCGATTATGATTTATTCGGTATACATACCTACTTACTAAATCGATATAATATAGTCGATAGTAACATATGATACAATACTCGCAATATGATCGATAAAAGCAATCTAATTGACCTAATATACTATTTTTATTACCCTAATGTGATGTGAAATACTATGGAAACATTGCATATTCAACGACCTCTATCTCCGTATCCCCGCGTATTTCAGGATTGTCGTCATACTATGAAATGAAGTACTAGTATTAAGCTTTAATTTAGTATACTTTTTGTTTCTGTTGGTTTAACGCCCAATATGCCCATCATCCTTTTTGCTTGTGTTGATGGCCTCAACTCTCGTTACGCGACCTATAATGATAATGAATATTAAACGAAAAATTCTCATTTCAGGGTAAATAATATACAAAAATGGCAAAGTTATATAAAGCCATGTTTAATTCAATGCGCTTATATTCTAGTAATATTGGAAAAGTTAAATCTCAAAAATATGTCCTAACCAAATACTTTCAAGGAGAACCTAAAAAATCTGACTTCAAAATAATAGAAGAAGAACTTCCGGAGCTGCAAGATGGTGGTAAGTAAACTAAGACAAGGTGTTAATACTATTTATTGTACAAGTTTTGGCCTCCATTATGCAATCCACTCAACATTTTTTCTTAATTGATTTTCAGAAATACTGACTGAGGCTGAATATTTAAGCGTTGATCCTTACATGCGTGCTTATATGATTGGTTATAAATTACCAACGGATATGATAGGCGGACAAGTTGCTAAGTAATTTTTGCAATAACTAGTACCATTATTATTATGATATTAATTGACTTCACGCGTATTTAACCTTTTTATACNCGTCAATTTTGTGTAGATTCAGGAATATTTCTACGTCATCTTTGTTGGGAGCTAGGCCGTTTATGTTCCATGTAGCCATTCTAAGTGTAGCCATTAGGCTAGCTTACTGACAAGTGTTGTTATGAGACTCAGCAAAGTACTCATTTGTTGTAGGATTGCTTCAAATTTTTGTGTTTGGGCTGCAAGTATTTTTTCTATTGTATAATTTTCAGAGTCCGACTCTGATTTTTTTCCTGTGTTCTGATTGTCATTACTGTGTGGTTTATGTGTGTTTTCTCTATTTTCCAATTTACAGTTTTGTCGCGGGAGTAGTTTCGGCCATGCCTCCGTTTTTTCTGGATTAACTATAGCTGCGTCCTTGTTAACAGAGTTCACCTCGTTTTTCCTCCGTATCATGTGAGAGGGGGCTGACTTCCTTGAAAGAATTTCTTGGTACACTTCGCAGCCCTTATAGTTTGCTGGATGTGCGCCATGACACAGTGCGCATTTAGCCGGAGTGTTTCTGTCATGTTTAGGGCATTCGGATGTTTTATGTGGTTTGGCACATTTGACACAGCGGTATGGTCGCATACAGAAGTTTTTTGTGTGCCCATATTGTTGGCATCTTTGGCACTGTACCACGGTTTTTTTTCTTTTTGGGTCCTCTATTATGACTGTTTGGTGATAAATGTATTTAATATCTTTTACGGCTTTGTTGTTCGGTCCAGGTTCAATATTCACAAAGAAGGTTGAGGTTGGTTTTTTATCAGGTCCATACCTTACATTTATTATTTCGCCTGCTACTTTATTTCCAGTATCCTCTACAGCTTCTGAAATTGCTGTGTGCGGAGTTGAGTGGTGTAGATTACGAATAACAATTCTGTAGAGTTTTTGGTCCTTTCTGTTGAATGTATGGCCTATAATTCCCTTTTCACGAATAAGTGTAATGAGTTTTTTGTATACATCCAGTTCTTGGCAACTGATTCTCAATTGGTTTTGGTTGACAATCTTATAAGTGAATTGGTTTCTTTCAGCAACTGTTTCAAGCAGTTCTGTCAGCTTTCTAACATCCTCCACTCCATATAGTACAATTGGTGGGGGCTTGCTGGGCTTGTGAATCTTTGGAACCACATCATCCTCAGTGAGATCAACTGGTAAGTTGCTGAACCTGTTTGAGGTCTTGACCGCCTCAGGAGAGGGGCTTTGTGCTATTTTCTTCCTCTTACGGTTACTCTCTTTAGGAACTTTTTGCCATTCTGGTGGACACGGAGTGTTTGATCCTGTAGGGAGACTATGCATTTCATTTGAATCTGCTTTTGTTGGTTGTAGGTAGGATCTACCAGGTATGGGAGAGTTTCCAACTGACGAGCTTCTTGGCCGATTGTGAAATAAGCTCGGGTGGAATGCCTGCTGGACAAATTTTCTTGTGTTACCAGTAGTAGTAACTGACACAGAAGCCTGGTTACCCACTTCTATGCAGTCTTCGGTAACCAATTTCACACTCTCCGGCCCGGGTACCAGAGAGCGCCGGGGGTCAGCCGGGGCGCATGACAAATCGCATTCGTTTATCAGACCTTCCATATTTAAAAAAAGAGATGGGAGAGATCTCATGGTACTTTCCCAAGGTCCCATTGCCACACTTTGAGAAGTTATTTAGTTCTTCAGGGCCTGTGGTGGCCATTGACAGGTTAATTAACCGCCGCCCGTTGCTCGGCGTTGTTGTTCGTTTGGCGCCACCCGGGGGACACGTGTAGGGTAACAGAGGGCAATCTTCCTACGGACGCGAACAACTCCAACCCCCCGAAAACTCACTACAAATTAAAAACCTTATTTTTCCATAGACACATCCAAGAGCACATGGACGTGCCCATAGACACTTCAAAGATGTCAGAGCAAGAGCTCCAGTTCCATTACTTCAAGATGCACGATGCTGACAACAACAATAAACTCGACGGATGCGAGCTCATCAAGTCTTTGATACACTGGCACGGTGAGTTTGACATCTTTTGACCTGTTTTGACCCAATTGATCAGGGATTTTACCTAATAGAGCAGTGTTTTAACCCAATTGATCTTTGACTTGGTTTGACCCAATTGATCAGGGGTTCGACCCCATTGATCATATTTTTTACCTAATGAATTAGTATTTTGGCCTAATTGATCACCGTTTTGACTGTGTTGATCAGTGGAATTGTGAATTTTGACTGTATATTTCATTTAGTTGGGTTGATTTACTATTATTAAGATTAGACCAATTTGATCTCATTATTAAAATAATGTTTATTAGTAATTATAACCAGTTGAGAAGTGTTTTGATCAATTTGAATACATAATGACATTATTACACCGTGTTGAATTGCAAATTGAATTATTCAGATATTTATAATCTCAGAATGCAATTATTATGATTGTTTTTCATTGCAAAGGTTGATTTTATGCTTGGTTTGTTCGTTTATTGAATTTATGTAAATACAACCATTGGGGAATTTTATTGTATGTACTATGCAAATTACATATTGGGGCATTGTTTTATTGCAATGGTTTTTTACACTTGAATCCACTTTTACATAAAATAAGTAACTAAATATCAGTTTTACATATTTTTTTACACTTTAATTTTTATTTAATTTTCGTAATTAAGTATTAATTCGATTAATTGTCATTATAGTTAGTTTGCACATTTATTAATAAGTAAATAAACAAATGAAAAGTGATTTCAAGTGTAAAGCTGGATTTACATTAGTGGAGCGTGTCGTGTGTGACTTGTGAAGCTTTAGTGACGCATTATCTTTACATTTCTATTTAATCATGATGCTTTTATTACGTGTAATAAATATTTTTAATTGTATTTTATCGAGAACAATGTTTTTTTTCTAGTCTGTCTCGCTGAAAATCGAACTATGTTGTACCTATATAAAACTGTGTGCACTTCTGACAGTCACATACTAGTTTATTGCTCACATATTTATTATGCAAAATACAATAAAGAGTAGCTAACTAGCTGTACCTACGATTACAATTAAATCAGACTATTAAGAATTGTATAAGTTCCACAAAAACATTTTTTTTGTTCACAACACGACGCGCTCATCTCCAAAACTGGGTTTCTATGTCCGCTATTATCACTGACCTCTATACACACTAGACTGGCTGCTGTCATAATATTTGAGTGCCTATTTGATGGTCGCCATTTTGGCGCTGTAAGCCATACTGTAGGCAGATACGAGTGTCCATGGAACTAATATTAGTGATTTTATTTCTCGCTTACTCTTATAGTTACTCCATATTTTATGATGTACGTCAAAATTAGTTCTCGGGTCACTCGTAGTGGCGCCAAATTGGCACATAAAATTAGCTGTCATTTGTATGCGACAGCCTTTCCAGTGCGTATAGAGGTCAATGCTGCTATTACATGTATGTCTTTTTCTATGTCCGCTTAGAGCAAGGTCATAAGCAGCAACCACCGCAGCCCGGCACCCCTCCAGTAGAAGAAAAAATATTCAACGACGACGAACTTATTAAACTAATAGACCCCATACTTAATATGGATGACCATAATCGCGATGGGTACATAGACTACCCAGAGTTCGTTAATGCGCAACAAAAAAGCAAACGAAACGATTAGTTATTCATTATGTTGAGGTAGATGTTCTGGGTAAACATTTCGCTCAAAATCTAAAGTCCGGTCGCCGAGCAGATAGAATTTCGTGCAATGACCCCAAGCTACCCATCCTTATCGCTCGCGTGTAATCATATTGCTGTCTCGCACACTCACTGCGGCCGCCCGTCGCACAGTCGCGAAATAAATGATTAGGATGAGCTTGGGGTCATTGGACGAAATTCTATCTACTCGGCGAACGGACTTAAGATTTTATTGAGCGAAATATTTACCCAAGAAATATCTAAACACAGTTAAAAGCTACCCATTTTCTACGAAATATTTAGGTATTCAGACTTGTAGTATACTGTGGCAACCGTTTTAGTTACGCCACGACATGTCGTATAAGTCTGAATCCACCTTTATCACTCGACCACGACATTCGGCTTAACGAGTATTCTTCAAGCGTATTGCAGTACATTTTAAATAAATACAGACTTAAGCTGGGTTACACGTTAACTTTAACAAACGTCAAGTCTGCCAAACTCCATACAAAACCACCGGTTATGGTTATAGTTACGGTTAAAGTTAGGTGGTGCAACTCAGCCTTAATAGATCTATAATCCCCACGATTATGTCAATTTCTGAATTATATTTATGTTTTTATAGAACAAATAAATTACTTGACTTTTAAGCCTATTTTCAGCTTAATAAAAGATTTATTTTGACGTAGGCCAATTTGTGCTCTATAAATTTTTGAATAGAGCTCCATTTGGCGTGTGTTTAATTTTAAATTGAGCCAGTTTCCTGAACCGAAGTGTTTGTGGTCGAGGTCCAATGCCTTTAAAATAAATATAGTCCAGCAGATAACCTACACAAAATATCTAATTTCAAAAATAATTTTGAATTTTATTATTTTGACAATAAGGTTCAATATCAATTGACAAAATGAGGTTTTGTGTAAGTTGATTTGCACGACCGTACAGTCAATTTGTTGTTAAAAACGGACTGAGTAACTCCACTATTATTAGTAAGTTGTATTTCATAATGCATTCCTAATAATTTTTTAACCAGGTTTACAAAAAAATTTTTTCATCAGTTTTCAACCGCATTTTCATTGCTTAGAGTTCAAATTGATGTCAACCGGTTAAGGTAAAATCGCGGACAGACAAATAATAATATCTACTTAATACTCTTAACTTTCATCTTTTTGAGATTTTTTATTGACTTGAAAAAAATCTGTGGTTTTGGCGCGACACGACATGCGCTTCAAATATGACTCTGGTTTTTGTAAAAAAAATACTTTATTTTTAAATAAAGTAAATACTTAATGACTGCAGATAGGTGCTTTTTTGGTCTTCCATTTTTTTATTGGATTTTTTCTTGATCTGTATAATTTATTATAAATTGATTTTTGATTAAAAAAGTATCAGAATCAAAAACTTTAACCATTTAAAATTTATTTTAGAAACAAAAGTAGACGTTTTATACATCCTTTTGGAGATTTTTTTCTAAATTTTACAGCAGTTAAAAACAAATTTTAAACAAAATAGTTTTTAGTTCCTGATCTTAGATTTTAGCATTTACATATTGCCATCTTCCTTGTATTATTTAATTTGGTCACAATATTCTTCTTGTTTTTTTATCAATCGATATTGGGAATTATGTACATACAGTGTTGTTGTGTTTTTATTTTTGTGGAAAAGATTATTGCCTTCATAATACTTTTTAATTGTTAATTCTTAATTAATTAAAGAGCGCTGACATGACAGCTTAAATACATAATATTGATAATAGTAAACGGTATCATTTTTATGTAATAAAAATATCAATAACATAGTAATCTTTTAATGACAGAAGATAAAACCTAATTAAATATTTAATTTCGTAGATAAAAATTTGGGGATTCCTACTTTACTGGGTTTTTCATATCTATACTTTTGTTTGTCACCTGTCATCCGCTTTGCAACGGAGGGAAGTCGAACCTTAACTTCGAACTCCTATGTTCTTCTGATTAATTTCGTTGCGGGTCCAATGACAGTCTAACTTTCCCCCGGGACAAACTTGACCTTCACTGGTTGGGTTATTGGCGGTCAAGCTGTAGATCCTGGCTACACAGGAGTTTCAGTGGGAATGAGAGGTGGGGATAGTTCCGTTATTAATTTTATTTTTTTCATCATGTTTTTTGAAGGCAATATTTTTTCCGTAATAAAGCAGAATAAACTCGAATATGCGTGCCAGCTTGAATTTGTCTGTATATTTTGTTCGTTTTTGGCATTTTTATATATTTAAATTGTATATAACTACAACCACAAAGAAGCAACATTAGTTTTTATTGTATACTCATTTTTTTGTCACAGTAAAATCAACATAGATTTTTTAAAATCATAAAACTAAATGTTGCTTTTTGTGGTATTGCATTTTTGTGTTTGTATTATTAGTGGTTGTGTAAGTATTTTAAACTCGGAGGTAAGAGTGACTGTGAATATGAATAAATTTATATTGATATAAATGTTTTGTTATTTTTAAAAAATGGGGACTTTAAAGGCAGACTTATCAACCCAGAAAAGAATCGACACCGTAATAATCGCCTTTCGCGCGCTGGCAATCGCGAGGCGAGGCGTTTACGTTACGGTGCGGATAAGTGTGCGTTGCAGTATGGAGTTTCATTCAAAGACTAAATACGGTTATGATCCGTTTCCGGGTTGATAAAGTATGCTTCTTCCATAAGTAGGTAGCAAAAAGGCAAATCTATAACTAATATTATAAATGCGAAAGTAACTCTGTCTGTCTGTGTCTCTCTTTCACGTCTAAACCACTGAACCGATTTTGATGAAATTTGGCATAGAGATAGTTTGAGTCCCGGGAAAGGACATATGATAGTTTTTATCCCGGTCAGACAAAATTCCACGCGGGCGAAGCCGCGGGCGGAAAGCTAGTAAAGAATAATTGGGGGAGGCCTATGTTCAGCAGTAGACGGTTGGTCCTGTGGTTGAAATATGATGACGAATTAGTAAGTTTCTAGAACCAATAGTAGAAAATAATTAACTTATCTTTGAACAAATGCATACATTTCAGCTGGCTCCGAAGAGCAGGTCAGTACAGTAACCGAGACCGAAGCTTCAACGGTAGTAGACATATTTCTGAACCGTACTGATTCTGATAATGATGGTTTTATAACCTACTCGGAGTATAAAATGAAATTAGATCCGAATTCTGTTATGAAAGTCAAGATGTCGGACGGATCGGTGGCTTATGTTTGAATATTCGATTTTAAGATGATTGAATTTTTAATAAAATTAAAAAAATGTATGAAAGAAATCCTATTAACATTGTAAGAACTAGTTCTTAATTTGACTAAGAGATGGCGCTATTTTACACAAGAAAGTTCCC